AAAGGAGGTAAAGCACCGGACCTGATGGGATCATGACAAAAATTTTAAAAGGGGGGGGGGATTAGTGGTTTGGGAGGGGTTGTACTTTTTTAATAAATGTATGAAAGAGGGGAAGGTACCTAGGGATTGGCAAGAGCAGAAAAATTATAAGAAAAGTTTATGATATACCAGGAAAAGTGATGGGGGGTTATAATTAAAAAGAATTAGAGGAAAGACAGAATGTAGGACGCAAGAGAAAGGAGGTTTAGAGTGGTAGGGGATGGTAGATAAATGTTTACATGAAGCATATAGTGAACAGATTTAGATAAAGGTAGGGAAGTTTTTATTGCATTTATGGATTTAGAACAGGCATATGATAGAGTGGATAGGGGAAAGCAATGTGGCAGATGTTGCAAGTATAGGAATGGGTGGTAAGTTATTAAATGATGTAAAGAGTTTTTATAAGGATAGTGAGGCTCAGGTTAGGGTGTGTAGAAGATGGGAGACTACTTCCCAGTAAAAGTAGGTCTTAGACAGGGATGTGTAATGTCACCATGTTTGTTTAATATATTTTATAAATGGGGTTGAAAAAGAAGAAAATGCTAGGGTGTTCGGGAGAGGGGTGGGATTAAATTATGGGAATCAAATACAAAATGGGAATTGACACAGTTCCCTTTTTTGCTAATGATACGGGTGCTTATGGGAATTCTAAAGAAAAATTGCAAAGGTTAGTGGATGGTTTGGGAGTGTGTAAAGGTAGAAAGTTGAAAGTGAACATAGAAAAGAGTAAGGTGATGAGGGTTTCAAATGATTTAGATAAAAAAATTGGATATCAAATTGGGCAGGAGGAGTATGGAAGAAGTGAATGTTTCAGATACTTGGGAGTTGACGTGTCGGCGGGTTTGATTTATGAAGGATGAGGTTTATCATAGAATTTATGAGGGAAAAAAGGTGAGTGGTGCGTTGAGGTGCGTGGGGCAAAAATCGTTATCTATGGAAGCAAAGAAGGAATGTAGGAAAGTATAGTAGTACCAACACTATTTTTATGGGTGTGAAGCTTGGCTTGTGAATGCAGCAGCGAGGAGACAGTTTGGGGGCAGTGGAGATGTCCTGCCTAAGGGCAATGTGGGGGTGTAAATATTATGCCCGAAAAAATTTGGGGGTGTGGAAATTAGGAGAAGGTGTTTAGTTAATAAAAGTATTAGCAGAGGGCGAAGAGGGGTTGTTGAGGTGGTTTGGTCATTTAGAGAGAATGGATCAAAGTAGAATGACATGGAGAGGGATTTAAATCTGTAGGAGAAGGAAGACGGGTAGGCCATCCCCGAAAAAGGTTGGAAGGAAGGGGTAAGGAGGTTTTATGGGCGAGGGGTTTGGACTTCCCGCAGGCGTGCATGAGCGTGTTCGATAGGAGTGAATGGAGACGAATGGTATTGGGACCTGACGATATGTTGGAGTGTGAGCAGGGTAATATTTAGTGAAGGGATTCAGGGAAACCGGTTATTTTCTATATAGCCGGTACTCGAGTCCTGGAAATGGGGGTACAATGCCTTGCACTCTAAGGAGGGGTTTTGGGATATTAGCAGTTTGGAGGGATTTGTTGTGTATCTTTATTACATTTATGCTTCTAAACTGTGTGCTTCTGAGCACTCTGCTAAAAAACAGTGATTATGTGTGAGGAGTGAGGTTAAAGTGTTGAATGTGATGAAAGTATTTTCTTTTTGGGGATTTCTTTCTTTTTGAGTCACCCTGCCTCAGTGAGGAGACGGCTCCCCGACTTGTTAAAAAAAAAAACTGGCTTACAGAGGAATGAATTCTTATTCCATTCCCATGGATATGAAGGAATGTAAATAAGATCAAGAACATGTCCCTATTAGATAAAAAAGAAAACTTCAGATGAGTGGTGATATTCAAAAAAATGTTCATGCATGTGTGACCTGAGTGTATCAAAAATATACTGTTCATCTTGTGTGTTTATTCAGACAGAAAAAAAGAACCAGCCCTCCTACCTATCATGTAAAAGAATTTACAGCGTTTCTGGTACTCACCACACATTTTGATAGGACGTAGTTCCTCCCTGGGTGGCTGCTGTATACCAACCTAGAAGGATGTGAAAAAGAAGAAAAGTTGAAAGTGAAACACAGATCAGAGAATGTGATGAGGGGTATCAAACGATTTAGATTAAAAAAAAAAAATGGATTTACATTGAGCAAGAGGAGTATGGAAGAATGTGAATGTGTCAGATATTGGGAGTTGACTTGTCAGCAGTGGGTTTATGAAGATGAGGTTGACCACAGAATGACGATAGTAAAAAAGGTGAGTGGTGCATGAGGTTTCTGGAGACATAAAACATTATCAATGGAGGCACCAGCAAATCTTATATAGGTGTGAAGCTTTATTCGGAAATGCTGTGCCAATCAAGGAGGAGGCTGGAGGTAGGGTGATGTTCATGTCAATGTGGTGGTGGAAATATTTGTTTTTATTTCACACTGGCGATTCCCAAACAAGCTGGGTGGCCAAAAGAAAAACTTTCACCCTCTCATTCACTCCATACTGTCTTGCAGAGGGTGGCATTTACACTTTCTCGTTTTATACGCAACATTAACACCCCTCCTTCAGAGTGCAGGCACTGTACTTACCATCTCCTGGATCTCAAGTCGGCCTGCCGGTTTCCTGAACCCCTTCATAATTGTACTTTGCTCACACTCCTACAGCACGTCATGTATTAAAAACCATTTGTGTCTTCATTCACTCCTATCAAGCACGCTCACACATGCCTGCTGGTAAGTCCAAGCCCCTCGCACACAAAAACCTCTTTACCCCCTCCCTCCAACCTTTCCTAGCGATCCCTACCCGCCTTCCTGCCACCTACAGATGATCACTCTTGAAAGTCCTCTGTTCGCTCCATTCTCTCTACATGTCTGAACCACCTCAACAACTCTTCCTCCCCAGCCCTCTGGACATCAGTTTGGTAATCGCACTTCCTCCTAAATTCAAACCTTCGAATTCTCTGCTTGACTTATTCACACCACACATTGCCCTCAGGACATTGACATCTCCACTGACCTTCCAGGCTTCTCATCGCTGCAACATTCATCACCCATGCTTCACACCCATATAAGAGCGTTGGTATAACTATACTCTTCTTTTACATTCACACCCTTTGCTACAAGGTCAAAGTGCTTTGTCTCCACTCAGACTCCGAAGTGCACCACTTTTTTAAATAATAAAACCCCACCCTTTTCCCCTTCATCAATTTATGATTCACCTCTTCTTTCATAGACCCATCCGCTGACACATCTGAAAAAATTCACCTCCTTCCATACTCTCTCCCTCCAATCTGATATCCATCTTTCATCACCTAATCTTTTTGTTATCCTCATAACCTTACTTCTTTCTGTATTCTCTTTTATTTTCTTCTTTTGCACTCCCTACCCAAAATTCATCCACCAATCTCAGCAACTTATCTTCAGAATCTCACAAGTGCACAGTGTAGCAGCATAAGAGCAACTGTGACATCTCCCACTTTTAAGTGTGATTCTTTTTCTTTTAACTCACACCTCTTGCCAAGACCTCTAGCATTTGCTTCTCTTACTACCCCATCTTGAAATATTTTATTACGACCTCTAATTTCGGTGAATCACACATCTTTGTCTAAGGCTACTTTTACTGGGAAATAATTTTCTCTCTCCTACCATTACTCTAACTTGAGCCTCACTATCCTCGATTAAAATAACTCTTCACTGCTTTCAGTAACCTACCCCCTAAACCATACACCTGCAACATCTGCCCCATTGCCCCCCCATCCCCCCGTCAAAACCCCTTTTTCCAATCCAAAATGCCCCAAGACCTCTTTTGCCTTTTAAATACTGTTTACAAGTTTAAAGTAAACACCTGGGCCACACACCCCTTTTTTTTCCTAAAGCCCCTTGTTTTTCTGCTATTTTCTCCGTCTTTCTTTAATTCTTTCAATAATAACTCTACCTACACTTTAAACCCGGGATACTCAACAGACTTATCCCCCCATAATTTTTGCACTCTCTTTTGTCCCCTTTGCCTTTATACAAAAGGAACTTGCATGCTCCTGCCAAACCCTAGGTCCTTCCCTCTTCTTTTCATTTATTAAAAATTGCACCAACCACCCAAACTAATCCCCCCTCTTTTAAACATTTCTATCTTTTTCCCATCAATCCCGGCTGCCTTTCCCCCTTTCTTTTTCCATGCCTCACGAACTTCCCCAACTCATAACTGGCTCCTCACTCCTACAAGATGTTTTTCCCCCCTTTGCCCTACACGAAATCACAGCTTCCTATCTTCTCAACTTTTAAAACAATTCCCAAAATATTCCCCCATCTTCCCAATACCTCTAACTCTCCTTTTTAATAACTCCCTCTCCTTTTTTTAATGACAAACCCTTTTTCTCTAGGCTTCCTTAACTTTTTTAATCCACCCCAAAAACTTGTTGAAAAAAAAAAACACCCCCACTCTTCTTTTGCTCTCTTTTTACATTGCTTCAACTCTCTTACCTCTCTTTTTCTCCATATATTTTTCCCTCCTTGCACACTTCTATTTTTGAAAAACTTCTCATATGCAACTTTTTCCCCTTTTATACTCTCTTTACATATCATTCCCCCAAATTTGCTCCTCTTCCTCCTCCCCCATTTTCCTTAACCACAAACTTCGCTGAACACTCTAACACACTTTTAAAAACCTACCCATACCTCTTCCCCCCTTGCTATGCTCTCATTAGCCCATCTATCCTCCATAGTTTTTAATTTTACCCTAACTGCTCTCTTTTAGTTAAAAACCTTTTCACCTCCTCTTCCCTGATGCTTTTTTTTCCCCTTGTTTTCCCCTCAAACCTTTTATCTCAGTGTACAACAACTAGAAATGATCTGATTACTGGGGCCCCCTCTAAAAACATGTACATCCTGAAGTCTACTCCAACGTCTTTTATCTCCCAATAATAATCCAAAAACTATGTCTTTTTCGCCCTCATCATTTTTGTATACTTATTACCTCTTTTCTTAAAAATATGTTTACCTATAACAAAACCCCTTTCTTAAAAAAGTTCAATAAAGGGCTCCCATTATCATTTACACCTGGCCCCCAAAAAATTACTACCACACCCTCCTAAAATTTCTCCTATTTTTCATTAACCCCCTACCAATGACCTCTCCCTTTTCAAAGGCTCCCATACATTCACTTAACATTCCCAAAAATCTCCTCCTCCCTACATTCCTCCTTCTCCGGGTGCATACACGTTTATTATGCCCCATTTTTTGCACCCAAACCTTTACTTAATCCACAAAATTCTTGAATTTACACTTTCATTTTCTCTTTTCTCCTTCCATAACTGATCCTTCAAATTACTGCTACCCCTTCCTTTGCTCTAACTTCCTCAGATACCCCAATTTAATCCCTTTATTTCCCCCACCGAAACTCCCCCCCCCTTCAGCTTTGTTTGCTTAGAGCCAGGCACCCAAAACTTCTTTTCTTCATAACATCCAATCACCCTTTTCTTGTCATCCGCACTACATCCCCACATTCAAGCATCCCAGTTTTATAAAGTTTTTTTTTTCCTTTTTTAGAAAATTCTACGGGAAAGGGTTACTAGCCCATTGCCCCCGGCATTTTAGTGCCTCATACCACGCATTTTACGGGGGAAAAAGATTCTTTTCCACCCCCCAGGACAATAGAAAAAATAAGGAAGAACAAGGCTATTTTAAAAAATGGGAAAAACCTAGATGTATGTATTACATAGCATGTGCGTGTCTGTGAAGTGTGACCAAATGTAAGAGGAGTAGCAGTACCCCTTTATCTTGTTTTTAGAGACAGAAAAAAACCAGCAATCCCCCATCGCAAAACATTTACAGGTTTCGTTTAAAGTCACGGGCGGAGGGTAGTATTTTCCTGGGGGTTGCTGTCTACCAACCTACTTTTATGCAGATAATTTGTAGTGTGGAATTAGGGTGTTGTACTAAAATATTAGTCAGAGGGGATGAGGGGGGGTTTTGGGCATTTAGGAGAATGGAACAAAGTAAAATGACTTGGGAAAAAGCATAAAAATCTGTGGGGGAAGAAGGAAAGGTAGGAGTATCTTAGGAAAATTGGAGGGGGGGGGTAAAGGGGGTTTTGGGGGCGGGGGGCTTGGACTTCCAGCAAGCGGCGTGACGTTTGAGAGGAGTAAAAAGAATGAAGACAAATGGTTTTTGGGATCTGAAAAGCTGTTGGGGTGTGAGCAGGGTAATATTTAGTAAAGGGGATTCAGAAAACCCGGGTGATTTTTAATACCCGGGGACTTGAGTAGGAAATGGGAAGTAAAAGTCTGACTTTAAAGGGGGTTTTTGGGTATTGGCGTTTGGAGGAATATGTTTTTTATCCTAATATCCCTTAGACTGTTGTATCTGGACACCTCTGCAAAGAAAAGTGATTAGTATATGAGGAAAAAAGAGTTAATTTAAATTTGAAAGTTTTTTTCTTTTTTGGTTTTCTTTTTTTGGGTCACCCTCCCTCGTGGGAGACGGCCCAACTTTTTGAAAAAAAAAAATACGATTTTATTGTACAGGTCTTTTTCTATCATATGCTAAGTACACTAATATCTGCTAAGTATATTAACAAGGGAACAATTAAAAAACTGTGAATGTACCTGCAGTCTTAGGCGATAACGTTCTTTTTCTTGATCATTAAAAAGATCCTTTAGCAATGCCGAAAGTGATGCCGGAGGAGACATTACTGGCACAGATAGCCTTGAGGTGGCATTCCCAGCCAACACATATGAGCAGCGGTTCATTAAGTAGTCTTTAAACCCTTGTGGAGGTTTGGGCTGAACAGGCCGCAAATTCTCACGCCGTCTCTCAATCTGCTCAGAAATAAGAGCATAATTAAAGTTCATAAGTTAGTTATGTTTCATTTTAAATTTCACTACTGTTTTTTTTTTAAATAGATTCATACTTTTATCCTTAATGTTATAAATTTTACCATTATGAAATTTTTTTTTAAAAAAAAAAGAAAAAAAAAAAAAAAACCCCGTTATAGAAAAGAACTTTAGAAAAACAATTTTTTCCCTAGCCAAACCCTGGGTCTTAGCCCTAAAATAAAGCAATCAGGAGGTCCAGATGGGGGGGTTTCCCCCCTTTAATTGGAAAAGAACCATCCCCTTATTAACCCTTTCAGGGTCCGTCCCTAAAACTCGGTTTTTTGGGTGATTCCCCCCGTAGATCACGCCAAAATTTATGCCTAAAAATTTAGCCGAAAGCGCTCAAGGCCACAGTGAAGAAGGGTCTGCCCCGGGGGGTGTGCCCTAAACAAAAAATCAGGGCCGCATAGCATTGTGGGAACCCGGGCCAGTCACCCTTGCCCATGCCCTCGCAAGTCAGCTCTCACTCCCCGGAAAATTGGGACCTCCTTTTCCGTCTGTATTTTCTGACACTGAGGAAGGGAATGAAGCCCAAAATTTACGCTTTGATAATTAGTGCCGAAAAAAATGACCAGGAAAATGAAAATAGTGCAGAAAACCCCGACATCCTCGACCTTCTCCCCTTGGTGTGGGCAATCGTACTCAGGGTCGGGGTTCCTAAACGTAAAAAAAAAAAAAAAAACTAATATTTTCCCCCCCCGGGTGGCCCCCTTGACTTCAGTAATGACGTGTTTCTGATATTGGATTTTTTTGCGCTCAAAAGATCATTCGAGATGATAGTGAGGAACATACCCCAGTAAAGCGTCGGTATTTCCCCGCGCTGGCTCGGGTAGTGTCCCCATGCGTGCCCGGGGGCCGGATTTCCCCATAACCGTGGCCCTACACCCGTTTTAGGTAGTGATATGGGGGTGTGGCTACATTTGGGCAGGGAGGGGCCCGGGCATCAGGGGAGGTGTTATGGTGCTGGTGGTGGTATGGCACCGCCATCTGATCACTGGCCCCCGGGGGACCCACGCGCGACTCGTCATTAAAGGACAAAGCGGAGCGTCCCCCCCACCCCGCCCAACCACCCGTACAACCAGCCTATGTTCCGTATCCACCACAAACCGTTCGGGGTTTGCCAGAAAAATCCCCAATTTTGTTCCACCCTCACCATTTTGATGACCTCAAAGTGGAATTCTCCCTACTGTCCCCTTGGAACCACGGCCAATGAATGGAATTCTTTGAATTATTCTTTGCCAGCCATTGTGGAAATTATTGTCAGGGGAAAATAAAAAATTTTTATAACCCTGGCAAATCGATTTATACCCCAAATCAAGACCACAGGTGGGAAAAGACACGTTGCAGAAATGTATTTTCTTTTGCAAAAATAATGCTTATGCCTCACGTCAATAAGATAATATAAAAGCATACTGGGCCAAGACGGCTAATTTGTCCCATCCTTCAGTGAAATAATTTTCCAGTGAACAGGTTTTCTTATTTACGTTGTTGCACTCCTGACAAAAACCCGCCGACAGAAGTGACAGGGTTTTACAAATTAAAAATTTTTTTATGTATCTCAAAAAAAAGTTCAGGAAAACTTTTATCCATTCAAGAATCTTGTTTAAATTTACGATCCTTGAGTTCAAAGGTAGACTGTCATTCAAGCAGTATATACCCGGCAAGAGGAAACCCCCTTTGGTATAAAATTGTTTTTCCTGTGACTGTGCAGTGGCCTGGTGTTGGATTTTTTTGTATACACGGGGAGTAAAAAATTGAAAGATACCGATGTTTTTGGGGATTCAGGGACGTAGTGGAAACATGATGGCCCTTTCTTGGTAAGGGCCATACAATATACCGATAAAGGGACACAACCCATTACCATGATTTTTCCCGTGAACAAGCAGGGTTGTGGGACAGTGGTTCAATCGTAAACTTGCCCAGGCTCAACGCAGGTGTTCGGTAAAGACGGCAGGGGTTTTTTGCCCAAAGACATATGGATTAGGTGGCTGACAAACGAGATGTCACATTGTTTTCAACCATTCACCGTAAAAAATGCAAGACAGTGGCAAAGTTGATCGAGTGCTAATGAACGATTCGAAAACCAGGGGCAGGGGGAAACACAAAAAAATGGGTTGGGTTTACAATGTGACATGCAGATTGGTTTTTTTGACTGGTTTGTAAAGTTTTCAAGGGTAAAAAAAACTTTTCTTCCCTCTCTGGACATTTTTAATGCTGAAAGCATATAATAGTACCAAAAAAAGACTGGGAACAGACCACCGTAGGGAATTTTTTTTTGTTGTTGTCCGACAAATCATAAAGAATACCAGGGAACAACACCTGCAATACAAAAAGGGCCTCGAATTCACACAAATACCCAAGGTTTGAGGAGAGAATGATCATTTCAAAAAAAGCTTCCTTCAAATCAAAAAAAATTTGCTCAGAAGAATGCATGGGCTGGCACAACAAAAACAAGGCAACAAAGACGCAAAGACACTCGGTTTATGTGTGAGGAAGTAAGGTCCCCTGGCATGGTTTCCTTTTTTCAAGGGGTTCCCCCAAGCTCCCGCAGTTCTTTAAAAAAATGTCCAGTGATTGTAAATTGTAAATATATGATAGAACATTAGTTTTAAAAAAATTTTGTCATGTTTTTGTAATAAAAAAAAGTGGGAAACAAAAAATGAAAAAACTTTGTGCGGTTATTTGTTCAAAACAGGGGGAATATATATATTCCCAATTTATAAGTATGGTCTTCAGGGGCCCCAAAATTTTTAAAAAATAGAAAAAAAAATTTGGAAAAAAAAAAAAAAACACAACAAAAAAACAAAAAAAATAATACGCATATGTGGGGAAATTTGTCGAGTTGCCGCCACCCCCAAATTTTTATAAACTTTTTGGCACGACTCGGGAAGTAATGACAATTTTAATTTTTTTTTGTTTTATTTTCCCTTTACAAAAATTTGCTCTTTTTTCGTAAAAAAAAAATAATTTTTTTTTTTTTTTTTTAAAAATTTCCCTTTGGGCACTGGTGCGTGACTTCAGATTTTGGCCTTGGACCCTGAAAGGGTTAAGCAATTACTAAAACAGAAGAAAAAGACAAAAATTTTTTAAGAAAAAAACCCTCCAAGAAACCAAAAAGGATTCAGGAATGGAAGAATGTCTTAAAACCTTAACTCTTTCACTGTCCGTCATGTAGAACTATGTTATTGAACCCAAAAACCTCACACGGATTATGTCTAGCTCGGGTCACTCACATAAGCTGTGAGCATAATTCTGGACTAATATGAGAGATGTATTTTGGTGGAGTGTGTGCACGAACTACCAAAAAAAAATGCCCCCTGCAAAAACTGCTGAAAAACAATTTTGATTGTGAATTTGGTTTAACCCTTTCACTGTCCAACCCTTTAAAAAATTAAAAGATTTTGTGTCCATTTTCATTTTTAAATCTTTTTTTTTTGAAAGGAAGAGAATCTTTCTCTTAAGGGAATACATCAAAATTATGAAATTTGATGGAAAAATTTGGAATTCACTGGCAAAATTGCCTCTTGGGAAAATTTCGAAACCCGGATTTTGCTCACTCGGTCATATTTTGGACAATTCCCTTGTTCCCGCTGATCAAAAATTCTTTTCTTTTTGCTAGTATGCTTCCCTTCAGCTTGACAAAAAAAAACCCATTCAACTATTTCCCCCAGTAAGTGGTCAAAAATTTTGCAATTTTACCTTTCACACAACAAAAAAAAAAAAATTAAAGTCCATAATAAACAAAGCGACACTTTGGATTAAAAAAATTTGCTTGTTCATTAGTCATGTCCCCCCGCCCTCTCCCACATTACACTTGCTTTCCATTTGAATTCTTATTCAACAAAAAAAAAAAGACAATTTACTCTATTTCAAAAAAAAACCAGGAAAAAAATATTCTGTTTACAGTCTCAATAATTGAATCAGACCAAATAAAAACCCTAAAACAGACGGGGGTTTTTAAAGGGAAACTTAACCCATCTTTTGGGAAAATTGAAAAAAATTTAATATTTTGGATTCAAATTCAGCGTCAATACTTCCCCCTGAACCCAAACAATTTATAGTTACCCCTATCTTTCCGGTTCTTCTATCCTCTGTGTCATTAAATTCAATTTTCCTATAAAGTTTTATAGCATCCTATAAAAATTTATGCCTAATTTCATACCGTCTATCACAAAAAAAATTTGTTGTAAAAAATCATTTTACAAAATATCTACAAATTAAAAGTTCTCCAGTTTAGAAAAAAAAAATATTTAGTTTGCAATTTTACTGTCAAAAACTGCTAGAGATCTATAAAGGGAGGGTTTGCTTTTGTTTATATATATAAATGAAAAGAGCATGAAAGTTTACGGGAAATAAAATGATGGATTTTGGTTACACCTACCTGTTTCCTAAAATGAAAAAGTTCATAGAATTTCTCATTGGCTGATCAACAATGAAACAAAGGAGACTCCCTTCTGGCTCCTTCATCTTTTTTTTCTTTTCGTGGATGAATGCACACCCTGTTGTTGTAGGGCGAGCTGTTCCCAATTTCATGATGGTTCGGTTTAACTGTAGATTGAGCTGAAGAAGTTGATTTTTTTTTTTTTTTCTTTTGGAATTGGTTAGTACACACTTACTTTCGGCAGTTTTGATAATTTTTTTCAAAACATCTGCACTTTTTTTTTTTAACCACGGCTATTTCCCACGAGGCAGTGACTCAAAAAGACAGAAAAACCAAAAAAAAAAAACTTTCATATTCAACGCTTTCACCCCTCACTCATACATAATCATTCTTTGCAAGGCGCTAATACGACAGTTTAAAACGTCCCTCCAAACGGCCAATATCCTAAACCCTCCATTAAAGTGCAGGCATTGTACTTCCAATTTCCAGGACTTAAGCCCGGCTAACCGGTTTCCCTGAATCCCTCCACAAAATATTACCCTGCTCACATTCCAACAGCTCATCAGGTCCCAGAAACTACTTGTCTCCATCCACTCCTAACATGTTCATGCACGGTTTGCTGGAAGTCTAAGACCCTTGTCCACAAACCTCCTTTACCCCATCCCTCCAACCTTTTCAAGGATGACCCCTACCCCGCCTTCCTTACCCTACAGATTTATATGCAAATTTAAGGAATGATTAAGGAAATGGCATTGGACACCTTGTATGAAAATTAACTTCATAACATGAGAATAAGTTAGTAATAAGCAAATATCAGAACCTAACACTGAATATAAATCATGCATGTACTAAAACTTAACTCTTTCTTCTAAGTTACCAACACATAAATATATATTAGACTGGACATATAACAAAGACTGCCAACAAAGATGGCAAGACAACTGCCACACAATTAAACCTTCACTGTAAATAAAATTTTGTCCAAATCAAATAATGAATATGGTGTATCTCATCATTAACAGTACTAAATAATCATGCAACTTATCTCACTAATTATGCAAACTAAAATTACTTCTCATTACCCAAGTATACCTTGAGAGGGTTTTGAGGATCAACATCCCTGCAGCCCAGTCTATAACCAGGCCAATATAAACAACTGTCTAGCATTTTAATAAGGACAATAAAACACCCTTATATTACCTGTTGTTGATTCTTCCGTAGAGCTGGAATTTCCTCCCCGCTGAGATCTAGTAATTCTAGTCCCACTGCCCTTCTCACTGCCAGAGCTGCTGCCACAGTTGTTTGAGCTCCCCTGATCATCCATCTAATAAAATGAGCAAAACAGTACATAACAGCAATTATGAGGTTATAATCTTTATCTACAGTTGACCCTCAGATAACACAGTACGTGTAGTTACATTTCTCAAAATAGTATGCAATAAAAAATGCATGTAAACTGAACAGCAGAACATATGGGAAAAGACCCCCAAAAAAGCCAACCAAATTTTTTATAGGTCTCAAAATTGTAAAAAACAATGATATTGGAGGGAGGGAGTATGGAAGAAGTGAATGTTTTCAGATATTTGGGAGATGACTTGTCGGTGAATGGGTTTATGAAGGATGAGGTTAACCATTGAATTGATGAAGGAAAAAAGGCGAGTGGTGCCTTGAGGTATCTGTGGAGATAAAAAAAAAAAAAGTATCCATGGAGGCAAAGAAAGGAATGTATAGAGTATAGTGGTACCAACACTCTTACACGAGTGTGAAGCATGGGTTGTAAATGCTGCAGCGAAAAGGCGGCTGGAAGAAATGGAGATGCCCTGTCTAAGGGCAATGTGTGGTGTAAATATTATGCAGAGAATTAGTAGTGTGGAAATTATGAGGTGTAGAGTTACTAAAAGTATTAATTAGAGGGCTGAAGAGAGGTTGTTGAGGTGGTTTCATCATTTAGAGAGGATGGAACAAAGTAGAATGACATAGAGAGCATATAAATTTGTAGAAGGAAGGCAGGGTAGGGGTTGTCCCCAAAAAAAATTGGAGGGAGGAGTTAAAGGAGGTTTTGTGGGCGAGAGGCTTGGACTTCCAGCAAGCGTGTGAGCATGTTAGATAATAGTGAATGGAGACAAATGGTTTTTGGGACCTGACAAGCTGCTAAGAGTGTGAGCAAGGTAATATTTTGCAAAGGGATTCAGGGAAATGGTAAGCAGAATGCCTGCACTTCTAAGGAGGGGTCTGGGATACTGGCAGTTCAAAGGGACATTAAACTGTCGTATCTGAGGACCTCTGCAAAGACAGTGATTATGTGTGAGTGATGGTCAAAGTGTTGAATAATGATGAAAATTTTTTTCTTTTTTGGGTTTTTCTTTCTTTTTGGGTCACCCTGCTGGTGGGAAACGGCCAACATGTTAAAAAATATATATATAATTGTAGGTCAATGTGGTGATGCACTTCAGTCAAAGATCCTGCAACCACATCTTTGCTAGCAGACATAAGTGCCTTATGGTTTGGTTGTTCTACTCATTGCAACTGCATGGGGTTATAAAGGAGGGATTAGAGTGGTTGGGGTATAAACAGGAGGAGTTAAAGCAGTTGGGGTGAGCAGGTTCAGTGTACAGGTGGGGAGACTGGGGGACTGATGTCATGTGGAGACCAAATGGTGGAAGGGTGGGGGAAGGAGCTGGAGATTGGTGCTGGGAGGTAGAGAATGCTGGGTAATGAAGGGGTGAGGGGCTGAAGGCAAGAAGCAACAGGGCAATGTGATGATGACTGTGTAGGTGGAAGTGTCGATGACCCAGTATGAGTGGTGGTGTGTACGAAGAGTGGCTGGGGTGGGTGAGAGCAAGGTTGGTGTGGGCAATAATCAAGGTGGTTGGTGGCTACATGGCTAGGTGTGAATGAAGTGTTAGTGTGTGGGTCATGAAAACATGAGTAAGGTGTGGGTAAAGTGCTGTGGGAGTGGGACTTTGTGGGTTAGAAGCTGAGGGTGTGGTGTGATTGAAAGCATGAGTAAGGTGTAGAAGTGGGGTTGTGTGGGCTTGAAGCTATAGGGAAATACTGTGGGTGAAAGGTGTAGTTGTCGGTAGTCTGGTGTGGGTGGTCAGGTAAGGTGTGGGCATGAGGTTGTGAGGAATGTGGCTGTAAAAAAATAGTGTAGGTGAAGACGAGTGGTTGTAGAGGTAACTGAATGAGCAGATTGTGTCTGTGTGGGAAGGGAGGGGGGAAATGGATGGTATGGGTGAAGGCATGTGGCTGTGGGGAAATTATAGAGGGTAGGTTGTATGGGTGAAGGCATGTGCCTGTGGGGAAATTATAGAGGGTAGGTTGTATGGGTAGGGGTTGTAGGAGGTATGGGTGAAGTTGCTTAGTATGCAGTGAGGGCATGTGGCCACAAGGGTAAAGGGGTAAGGTTGAATTGAGCAGTTGGTGTGGGCAAGTACGTGACTGAGGTATGGTACTAGATATGTATGAACGTAGCATGAGGTATGGTATTACACACACATAAAAGAAGCCCTGAGCCTTGCTGTGTAGCCTCACTGCCAGGCCCCCACCTTCACCCATTTCCCACAGTTCCCCTTCACCCATATTCCCTCTCCACACTCCCCTTCCCACGTTTGTACCCACCTCATCCCCATTCTCCCTCACCTGCATGGGACGTACGAGTGAAAGGAATGTTGGACAACAGTGACAGCATTCACCCACAGGCCACTTTCATCCCTTCGCTCAGGCCTTCACTCACCCTTCTTCACCCAGTATCCTGTCCTCACTCAATAGCTCTCACACTCCCACCCACTAGACATAAGACAGTGGACTTGCAATGAGGCTCACTGTGAGATGGAGAAGAAAGAATGTGGTGCATGCCACAACTTCCCTTACATGCACGCCACCATGTAAACTGATTTTTTACAGCATTCATCAAAAATATGCCGCAAATTTGCAACTGGTCTTTTGGTGGAAACATGTTAACAGAGCACGTGTTATCCAACTGTCAACTGTAAATACAATACAAATATTTAACTGAGAGTTCCTTGAATGAACTTTAAACAAAATATTTTTTTTCAATAATCAGGCAGACCAAGTAGAACAAAATCTGAGTCATCATTCTCATTATATATTTCACTTAAAATTAATAACATAAATATATATAACTTAAGTCTAGAAGACACAAACAATTTTGCCACATACATCACAATTCACCTTAGTAGTTGAAACGACCTCTTTTCCCTCTGCTGCAGCCTCCTTCTCTTCTCCGGAACTAGTATTGACTACATAAGGCAATTGTCTATTGCTAGAGCATTTGCCATTTCTAGTATTAGGTTCTTGCTCTGTACCGCCTCCAAGAACAATCTTCAGGGGAGGAACCTTAGGGCCAGATTCACTCTTAACATCATCTTCAGTATCACTGCTTTCTTCACCATTTTTAGTGCTTGATGGTTTGGGGCTATTTGCCGCAGATCCTGTAGGACTTTTTCGTTCCCCAGTTACTATTGAGCTTGTTGTAGAAGTCTGCTTGGTTCCTCCTGTACCAGTACTAGTCCCTGTACTTCCACGACCACCAGATTTAACAATCTTATCTGTAGTTCCTGGTTACAATATACAAGTGTGAACATCTATTGCCTATCAAATTACAAGTTTTTTAAATTCAAATGCCATCTACTTCCAAAGCAGGGTAACCCAGAGAAGACATGTTCACCAACATTCACTCAATTGCTGTCAAATTATGCACTCTAAAGGAGGGATTTGGGATATTTGCTGTTTAGAGAGACAACTACACTGTCATATCTGCGTGCCTCTATCAATGACGTGTAAGTTTCTCTTTTTTTTTTTGGGTCACCCTGCCTCAGTGGGAGACAGCCATTGATCTGTATAATAAACACAGATCAATGATACATATGAACCCACATGGATGGGTCTTTTGAACTGTGATGTCTGCAAATTTCTGACAAGACAACTATTAAAATCAATAGTAAATATGTTACCTTTTTGGCAGGCCCCACTTATACAGCAGATTAAGTTCCAAAAGGCCCCACTTATACAGCAGATTAGGTTCCAAAAGGCCCCACTTATACAACGGTTCCAAAAGGCCCTACTTATACAGCAGATTAGGTTCCAAAAGGCCCCACTTATACAGCAGATTAGGTTCCAAAAGGCCCCACTTATACAGCAGATTAGGTTACAAAAGGCCCCACTTATACAGCAGATTAGGTTACAAAAGGCCCCACTTATACAGCAGATTAGGTTCCAAAAGGCTCCACTTATACAGCAGATTAGATTACAAAAGGCCCCACTTATACAGCAGATTAGGTTACAAAAGGCCCCACTTATACAGCAGATTAGGTTACAAAAGGCCCCACTTATACAGCAGATTAGGTTACAAAAGGCCCCACTTATACAGCAGATTAGGTTACAAACGGCCCCACTTATACAGCAGATTAAGTTACAAACTAATGCTGTAGAGCAAAACAACCTTTTTTTTTTACTTTCAAATGAATATAAAAGCCTGATAACATGTTAACACTATCATATGTTAAGTGAGAAATAGACCTAGGCCTAAAACATGCATATACAATATGTTAAGTGAGCAATAGAGCTAGGCCTAAAACATGCATATACAATACACACATCACTTACCTTAAAATATTTTCATCTTAGCTTATTGTCAATGGTGAATATATTTATTGTAGGAAGTCTGAATAAATGAGGCACTGAGAAGTGGAGCCTGCCTGTACTCTACATTTTGGTTTACCACTCCTAAGCGACTCATCCACAGTGATAGGTCAAAACATATAATACTCTTACTTTTTGCTTTAATATAAACTTCCACATGGGTTAATTTGTGTACTAACTCTTATGTATATTAACCCTTTGATTGTTTAGCCGTATAAATACGTCTTACACGCCACTGTTTCTGACGTATATATACTCATAAATTCTAACGGCTTCACATCAAGCAGGAGAAACCTGGTAGGCCCACATGTGAGAGAATGGGTCTGTGTGGTCAGTGTGCACCACATAAAAAAAATCCTGCAGCACACAGTGCATAATGAGAAAAAAAACTGACCGTTTTCTTGAATTAAAACGCCGACTTTGAGGTGTATTACAGAAATAGAGATGATTTTCATTACTTTCACGATGAAAACGACCTTGAAACTTAGCTCAAAGTAGCAGAAATGTTCGATTTTTACCAATGTTCAGGAGTAAGCAAATCACACCACACGTCTAATACACGTCAACTGGGGAGTCTAATATTCTTTCACTAGTGCACTGATATTATTTATACCATTTCTAAAATAATCCAGTAGTCTGCATACCAGTAAATTTTATATTTTTTTGTATGAATAAAAAATCAAAATAGAAAGCAATAGTATTATAAGAGGGGCCTAGAGATGTGACTAATGAACAGACAATATGTTATTTTAGTGCCAAGAATGTCTACCTTGTTTATTCTGGACCCTATTTTGAAATAGGCATCTTTTTTGATTTGCATGAAATTGGCCAAATTGCCAATTTCTGACCACTTTATTGGGTAGTTCAAATCGGTAAATGGGCGGTTTCTTGTACTCAACTGATAAATAAAATGGAGTTCTAAAGAAATAGCTATGAGTTTGGTCACCTGGAACAACGGAATTGGCTAAAAACAGGGCTCAAAGTCGGCGAAATCGCCAATACGTATATGTCACCGAGACCGCTAACTTCGCGGGAGCGTAATTCCCTGAGTTTTCGACCAAGTTTCAAACTTTTGGTGTCATTACCATCGGGAAAAGATTCTCTATCATTTCATAAGAATTTTTTTTTTTTTTTTTTCAAAAATTTTGCGACATAGAATGACAGTTTCAGAAAGGGGCCTGCGACAGTCAAAGGGTTAACGCCTCAATTCAACCCCAAACTATACTTAACAAAACCTATTAGTAATGTCTACACAACCATCTACTACATACTAGAAATCAATAATATATCAAATTTTGTCATATTTTTAATATGGCTGCTACTAGTTTGAGCCTTAGAATATTTGAAGGTATTTGCTCTTTTATGAACACTTGAGACTAATTAGAAAATGCAAAAATTAAAAATACCTCACAGAGGAATAGTGAACAAAAACATCACCCTCAGTGTCTTCAGTCTATCTTAAAGAATATGCTCCATAAACAGGATTCCAAATCCAATTAGTAACAGTAAACTTAACTAATTCTATACCTGTTTACTGTAAACCCTTGATATAATGAACTATTAGGGGGATTCTTAGAGTGCTATATTGCAATGTTAAAAATAGTAAATAGTGCACTATATACCTAATTTAGCCCTGTACACACAATTTACAATAAACATTGAAAATAAAGGAGTTAAAAGTAAAATTTAACTAGTGGGTTTTGCCCATAATTTCAGAAGTCAATTATATCAAAGTTCGTTGAACCAAGGGTTTACTGTATGTAGCAAGCCTAATTCCATGTACAGTCCATGGTTAAACCTGATGCAATGCCTTAACTAACAGCTATCAAATGAGACATCAAAAATGATTACAAGCTCAATATAATTTTTGAGACTAAATATATACATAATATATAGTCAACACCATTCAAGGTATCTCTGCAATTTGGTTACTTTCACCTTAAATAATTCTACCAAGTCTTATTAATCATGTGGTGAAGTCTACCTATCCAGTCTAGCTAGGACTGAGGGTCTACAACACTGTCTGTGACAAGTATCTACCTATCTCTGCTTCTGGAATCTACCAACCTTGTTCAGTTTGCCATTCTGAACTGCCCACACAGTACCAGCTTGTTCTTGTAAATAATAAAGCTGTGTTAAACACTACTGTGTACCCTCGTGTATCAACAGCTGAAATGGACTCCAAAAGATGTGCACACAGACCAGGGATGTGAAGATATATATAATTTGGGAAGGAAAGAGAGGAAATAGTAAGGAAATTGCAGTGGTGAGAGAAGAGATGGGAGAGCAAGAATGGGCAATGGCAAGAAGGCGGAAAAGGAAAAGGAATGGGCAGCAGTGAGAGGTTTAATAAATGAAAAAGGAATAGGTAGTGGTGAGATGGTAAAAAGAGAAAAGAATGGATAGTGGTGAGAGAGAGCAAGAGGTAATGGGCAGTGATAACAGAGGGAAAGTATCTTCTCCCAATAAGTCATATAATTTCCCATGATGCTTGATAAGGTACATAATTAAAGTACATACTAGCAAGTGATAAAAATAAGTGTTTATGTGGTTAAACCTAACATCACACAGTCATGCTAAATTCTATTTTTTTAAAAGGAATTTCAGTATTTAATGCCAACAGGAGAGAGGGAGATTACTTCCAGTAAAAGTAGGCCTTAAACAAGGATGTGTAATGTCACCATGGCTAACATATTTATAGACTGGGTTGTAAAAGAAGTAGGTGCTAGGATGTTGGGGAGAAGGGTAGGATTACATTATGGGGAATCAAATACAAAATGGGAGTTGACACAGTTACGTTTTGTTGATGATACTGTGCTTCTGGGAGATTCTAAAGAAAAGTTGCAAAGGTTAGTGGACAAGTTTGGGAGGGTGTGTAAAGAAAGAAAACTAAAAGTAAACATAGTTAAGTGCAAGGTGATGAGGGTCTCAAATGATTTAGGTAAAGAAAAATTGGATATCACATGGGAGGGAGGCAGTATGGAAAGTTTTTTTTTTTTTCAACAAACTAGCCATATCCCACCAAGGCAGGGTGACCAAAAAAGAAAAACTAAAGTTTCTCTTTTTAAAATTAGTAATGTATACAGAAGGGGTTACTAGCCCCTTCCTCCCGGCATTTTAGTTGCCTCTTATGACATGCATGGCTTACAAAGGAAGAATTCTGTTCCACTTCCCCATGGAGATAAAAGGAAATAAACAAGAACAAGAAATAGTAAGAAAATAAAAGAAAACCCAGATGGGTGTGTATATATATGCTTGTACATGCATGTGTAGTGTGATCTAAGTAGAAGTAGAAGTAGCAAGACGTACCTAAATACATATCTTGCATGTTTGAGACAGAAAAAAAGACACCAGCAATCCTACCATCATGTAAAACAATTACAGGTTTCTATTTTACACTCACTGGGCAGGACAGTAGTACCTCCCTGGGCGGTTACTGTCTACCAACCTACTACCTAGGTGAAAAAGTGAATCTTTTTTTTTTTAACACATCGGCCAATTTCTACCAAGGCAGGGTGGCCCGAAAAAGAAAAACTCTCATCATTCACTCCATCACTGTCTTGCCAGAGGGGTGCTTTACCCTACAGTCATAAAACTGCAACATTAACACCCCTCCTTCAGAGTGCAGACACTGTACTTCCCATCTCCAGGACTCAAGTCCGGCCTGCCGGAGTGAAAAGTGAATGTGTTCACATATTTGGGAGCAGACTTGTCAGCAGATGGGCTTATGAAGGACAAGGTTAATAACTGATGAAGGAAAAAAGATGAGTGGTGCATTGAGGTATTTATGGAGATAAAAAAAAAGTTATCCAAGGAGGCAAAGAAGGGAATGTATAGTGGTACCAACATTATATGGGTGTGAAGCATGGGTTGTAAAAGCTGTAGCAAGGAGGAGGCTGGAGGCAGTGGAGATGTCATGTCTAAGGGCAATGTGTGATGTAACTATTATGCAGAGAATCCATAGTGTGAAAATTAGGTGGTGTGGAGGGCTGAAAGAGGGGTTGTTGAGGTTATTTAGAGAGGATGGAGCAAAATAGGATGACTAGAAGTGGAGGGAAGGAAGGGTAGGGGTAATAGAGAGAGGGGGTAACAGAGGTCAGGTGTGCAAGGGGCTTGGACATACAGCTGGCATTTGTGTGTGTGTCAGATAAGAGTGAAAGGAGATGAATGGTTTTTTGGACCTGATGAGCAGGACTTGAGTCCTGGAGGTGGGAAGTACAGTGCCTGCACTTTAAGGGAGGGGTTTGGGATATTGGCTGTTTGGAGTGACATCTAAACTATCGTTCAAACCCCATAGAACAGGTGGGGTTTGAACCTGTGGCAAGCGAGTCTTAAAACTCCAAGCCATTGCATAAGCCACTCAACCAGTTGGCTCTAATAAGATTCATCCAACTAAGTACATTTGTATGAACTATAGGGAGGTATAGAAATATACAGTGGGAACTCGGTAGTCAAACAGCTCCTTACTCAAACAATTTGGTACGTATCTGAACCCTCTGTTTGGTAAAAATATTGCTCAGTAGTCGGCCATTTGCTCGCCGCTCAACCAAACAAATACGACCTGCCAAAACCTCGCTGTAAACTATTTCGTATTTCTTCACATTTTTTGGTGTTTTTTATATTATTTGTATAAATAAATCACTATGGGGCCAAGAAAATTGGCCGGGAAAAATTCATTCGGTACTCAAACAGATCGGTACTCCAACAGCTTTCTTGAATGAATTAATTTCGGGTACTGAGGATCCACTGTACCTAGTTAGACGAATCTTATTTTCAGCCAGCAGGCCGAGTAGCTTACAAAATGGCTTGCAGTTTTAGGACTCGCCAGCAGGCCGAGTAGCTTACAAAATGGCCTGCAGTTTTAGGACTCGCCAGCAGGCCAAGTAGCTTACAAAATGGCCTGCAGTTTTAGGACTCGCCAGCAGGCCGAGTAGCTTACAAAATGGCCTGCAGTTTTAGGACTCGCTTGCCATTTATTAGATCCCCACCAGTTGCATGGTTTTTTTTAATCGTGTTATTACAATTTCGAGCCATTATTTCGCCTTGTATCTTTATCTAAAACATGATTTTTTTTTTTCATCAAACCAGCCATATCCCACCGAGGCGGGGTGGCCCAAAAAGAAAAACAAAAGTTTCTCTTTTTAAATTTAGTAATTTACACAGGAGAAGGGGTTACTAGCCCCTTGCTCCCGGCATTTTAGTTGCCTCTTACAACACGCATGGCTTACAGAGGAAGAATTCTGTTCCACTTCCCCATGGAGATAGCAGGAAATAAACAAGAACAAGAACTAGAAAGAAAATAGCAGGAAACCCAGAGAGGTGTGTATATATATATATGCTTGTACATGTATGTGTAGTGTGACCTAAGTGTAAGTAGAAGTAGCAAGACGTACCTGAAATCTTGCATGTTTATGAGACAGAAAAAAGACACAAGCAATCCTACAGACTTTCGTTTTACACTCACTTGGCAGGACGATAGTATCTCCCTGGGCGGTTGCTGTTTACCAACCTACTACCTATAACATGATTTATATGTTGTATAAAAGGATAAGAACAGCAGATATAGGTGAGCACCAATTTTTTTTTCATTGATTTGTGATGTAACATTTAGTCCTGGAAATTTTCCAATAGATTTTTAGTCGCTTAGATCAGATGAACCATTAGCTAAGAACACAGACGTATTTGATTCAATTTATCAATATTTAACTGCACAATTTCTTTCATTCCCCTAAGCATACCTGATACTTCAACTGCAGTCCTTCACTTTCATTTACAGTACAGCACGTGCTTCAATTATGACAATAATGTACAGTGGACCCCCGGTTATCGGCTGTAATCCGTTCCTGAAGGTCGGCCGATAACCAAAATGGCCGATAACCGAATTAATATTTCCCATAAGAATTAATGGAAATAAAATTAATTCGTTCCCAACAAAAACATTCACAAAATTTTTTTTTTTTTTTTTACAATTATGTAAGTATTACATACCTTTATTGAAGGCTAATGCTGGCTTCTGGAAGATAGGGAGGAGGAAAGTGGGAGGAGTTAGTGTTTGGAAGGGGAATCCCCCTCCATGAAGACTTTAGGTAGTAATGCCTTCTCTGGGGTTACTTCCCTTCTCTGTCTTATAATGCCACTAGAACCAGCTTGAGAGTCACTGGACCCGTCTCACAAAATAACTGTCCAGAATGCTCTATTTCTGGCGTCTCTAAGATTTCCCTGAAGTGGGACAGGGTTTTGTCACTAAACATGTTACAGATATGGCTTGTTTCAGCTTTGTCTGGGTGGTGTTTCTCTACAAAAGCTTGCACCATGGTCCACATTGCACACGCCTCTTTAATCTCTGAAAAAGGTACCTCCTTCACTCCCACTTCCTCCTCCTCTGAAGCAAGTTCCTCAGCTGCAATCTGTTGCTGTTCAAGTTGAAGCTCTTGCAGCTCTTCAGTGGTAAGCTCTACCCTGTGGTCCTCCTCCAACTCTTCCACATCCTCACCACTCACCTCCAACCCCAGGGACTTCCCCAAAGACACAATAGAGTCCACAGGGTCGGCAGGGTCAGGGCGAGTCTCACACCCTTCAAAATCCCTCTCTTGGACACAATCTGGCCACAGTTTTCTCCAAGCAGAGTTCAAAGTCCTGGAAGTCACTCCCTCCCAAGGCTTATGCAATGGAGGATATTGAAGTGATTCCTCCACAACTCTCTTAGGGTCAACTGAGTGTCCGAGGTCACTTCAAAGCACTTTTGAAACACTGCTTTTGTGTAAGAGTTTTTTGAAGTTAGAAATGACCTGCTGGTCCATGGGCTGGAGAAGGAGTGGTGTTAGGAGGCAAGAAATTCACTTTTATATAACTGAAGTCCCTAAACACTTGGTCTTCCAAGTCTGGAGGATGTGCATGAGCACTGTCCAGTAACAGGAGGTACTTGAATGGCAGTTTCTTTTCCAGGAGGTATTTTTTTCACACTTGGGCCAAACACATCATTAACCCACTCTTTGAAAATTTGCCTTGTGACCCATGCCTTATGATTAGCTTTCCACATCACACACAATCTATTCTTCATGACAGTGTTTTCTTAAACACTCTGAGATTTTCTGAGTGATACACAAGTAAAGGATTCACTTTGAAATCCCCACTAACATTACCACACAACAAAAGAGCAAGCCTGTCTTTCATAGGCTTGTGCCCTGGCAGTGCCTTTTCCTCCTGGGTAATGTAGGTCCTCTTTGGCATTTTCTTCCAAAACAGGCCTGTTTCACCACAACTGAAAACTTGTTGGGGTTTGAATTCTTCAGCCTTTACATAGTTCTGGAATTTGTGAACATGCTGTACATTTGTCAGAACTTGCAGCCTCACCATGCCTTACAACACTGTGTATGCCACTACGCTTCTTAAATCTATTAAACCATCCTTTGCTGACCCTAAATTCACAAACTGCAGCACTTGTTCCAGGCATTTTCTTTGCAAGATCCTCATGCAACTGCTTTGCCTTCTCACAAATAGTAGACTCCACTACACTGTCTCCCACTAATTCTTTTTCCTTAATCCACAATAATAATAACTTTTCCATCTCTTCCATTATTGGTGTCCTTTGTTTAGTTAGAAAAGTTACTCCTTTTGCAGCATTAGCATCTTTGATTTGTTCTTCTTTGCCAGGATGGATGTAATTGTTGATTTATTCTTGCTGTACATCCTGGCAAGTTCCATCACCTTCATACCACTCTCAAACTTTTCAATCACTTCATGCTTAAATTCCATGGTGTTTCTCACTTTCTTTACCACAGGAACTTTACGAGGAACTTTCTTTGGAGCCATGGTTACTTATTTCACAGTTGCACTGCAAGAAAATCCACTAAAAACAATGGTAAACAAGTAAAATGTTTGGATGTATGAGCAGAAGCCTCTTCAGCCACCGAGAGACAAAGCCAAACTGATGCGCAAGCTGCCCCAGCCGGCTGATGGACGCATCCAAAACCGCCGATAACCGAGCAAACGGCCGATAACTGGGTGCCGAAAAACCCGCCGATAACCGAGTTGGCCGATAACCAAATCAGCCGATAACCGGGGATCCACTGTATTACTTAAAATTTTTCCCAAGTTGATTATTAGGAACTCAGAACTTTGTGTTCCAGAGCCATAAAACTATTCTATATGTAATTTCATTTAACTATTTGCAAAGAATATTTAACAAATATTTTACTGTTTCTTTTCCTTACTAGTGTACAATATGGTGTGAAACAATTGAGAAAATTAAACTTAAAAAGTCAAGCCATAATTCACCTGGCCAGGTGTTTTTCTTTTCACCCAGTGAAAGATACTTAAGCTGAAGACCAATCATAAAGTTTTATTCAAAATATACTCATTGGATTTCCCATGCCTAATTCTATTTTCTTTCTAGTCATTCTTTCTTATAAATGTCAATGTATATAAGTTCACAGTGATGCTTAAAAAAAAAAATGCTTGAAGGCACATGAACTCTGTGGTGCAGCAATGTTTACTAACAGTTGCACCACCATTATCTGTTCCTGTGTCCTCTGTCCGTCGTGGTTATAAGTGTTCCCGTGTATTGGAAAAGCAAGTGCATGTTTGCAAGTCATTAGCTAATTCCAAAGTGCATATGTTAAAAGTGGAACATCACAAGTCGAAACATCATAAGTCATTGACATTCTGTATTACATTCATTTATACATCATATTTACCACATTATTCATGGATTTCCACGCATGCACGCACGCACGCATGCACACACACGCATGCACACACACGCATGCACACACACGCATGCACACACACACGAAGCAAAGTGATATCCTCTAGCAGGGTGTAACCAATTAAGATTTTCCCACAAAACATACCAGTAGGTCGGCCACCTCCTCTTCCTACTCCCTTGGTAGCTTCTTTGACATCTTCTTTTCTCCTCTTCTTTCTTGCCTCCTCATCATCTTCAGGTTCTGCTTCTCTGCCCCTTTTATCTCCCTTGTCTTCTATAGTAGCTACTTCTGCTCTTGTCCCTGCTCCTTTATCATCATCTTCCTCAACTCTGCCATCGTCTTTGCTACACTTAAATTCATAAACATCTTCACTGCTTTCCATTATGTTTCTGAAAATCATTTACATCATATAGGCTCTACGTATAATAAGGCATTTTATAATGTAGAAAATACTTACAAGGTACTGTATTATACTCAGAAAATTTTTTAATCCTGAATCATTTATGGGAAAGCAACACCATGAGAAGAGTATTAAGTAATTATTCAAAGATTAAACCAATTATTTGCTTTATTCTTTTAAACTCTGACCCAAATATGTTAAACATAGCAGATGATTCACCTAGCAAATATGTAATACAGTAATTTGGACAACATCAAACAAATTTTTAACACAAATTATCTACAATGTACATACCACAGTACTACAAATTCAACAATTCAAAAACTTATTGGCTCTAAATTTCTGTTTGAATAAATTCAAATAATCAAAATTGCTGATAGCTCTGAAGTTTTGAAATGTTGTTGCTATTTGCTTTTTGATCGGCTGCACCCAGAGTCTGAACAGGTGACTGTCATTTAAAGCTGGCTGGACCGTATTTTACTTTCAAAATTACTTCCAAGGGCAGTGCAGTGCCTGGCAAGAAAAGCCCAAGGGACTGTACCAGAGGCCATCTTGCTCTCTCCATTCTAGGGCATAAGTTACCATAGATTGTTTGATCTCACATCAGTCATCTGCACCAAAGTAGGGTAACCAGAAAATGTTAAGTAAAAGGACACAAATGCAATTAATGCGACATTTTATTGTGGCAACATTTCGCTCTCCAGGAGCTTTGTCAAGCCATTACAAAAAATACATGGACACAGAGGGTATATATAGGCTTGGAGTGAGGTGTAGTACAAGTAGAGGTAGTAGTGTGGTGGAAAAGTCAGCTGTCTCATGTAACAGCTGACTTCCAGCAGGCGTGCATGAGTGTGTTCGATAGGAGTGAATGGAGACGAATGGTATTTGGGACCTGACGATCTGTTGGAGTGTGAGCATGGTAATATTTAGTGAAGGGATTCAGTAAAAGTAGGCCTTAGACAGGGATGTGTGATGTCACCGTGGTTGTTTAATATATTTATAGATGGGGTTGTAAGAGAAGTAAATGCGAGGGTCTTGGCAAGAGGCGTGGAGTTAAAAGATAAAGAATCACACACAAAGTGGGAGTTGTCACAGCTGCTCTTTGCTGATGACACTGTGCTCTTGGGAGATTCTGAAGAGAAGTTGCAGAGATTGGTGGATGAATTTGGTAGGGTGTGCAAAAGAAGAAAATTAAAGGTGAATACAGGAAAGAGTAAGGTTATGAGGATAACAAAAAGATTAGGTGATGAAAGATTGAATATCAGATTGGAGGGAGAGAGTATGGAGGAGGTGAACGTATTCAGATATTTGGGAGTGGACGTGTCAGTGGATGGGTCTATGAAAGATGAGGTGAATCATAGAATTGATGAGGGAAAAAGAGTGAGTGGTGCACTTAGGAGTCTGTGGAGACAAAGAACTTTGTCCTTGGAGGCAAAGAGGGGAATGTATGAGAGTATAGTTTTACCAACGCTCTTATATGGGTGTTGAAGCGTGGGTGATGAATGTTGCAGCGAGGAGAAGGCTGGAGGCAGTGGAGATGTCATGTCTGAGGGCAATGTGTGGTGTGAATATAATGCAGAGAATTCGTAGTGTGGAAGTTAGGAGAAGGTGTGGGATTACCAAAACTGTTGTCCAGAGGGCTGAGGAAGGGTTGTTGAGGTGGTTCGGACATGTAGAGAGAATGGAGCGAAACAGAATGACTTCAAGAGTGTATCAGTCTGTAGTGGAAGGAAGGCGGGGTAGGGGTCGGCCTAGGAAAGGTTGGAGGGAGGGGGTAAAGGAGGTTTTGTGTGCGAGGGGCTTGGACTTCCAGCAGGCATGCGTGAGCGTGTTTGATAGGAATGAATGGAGACAAATGGTTTTTAATACTTGACGTGCTGTTGGAGTGTGAGCAAAGTAACATTTATGAAGGGATTCAGGGAAACCGACAGGCCGGACTTGAGTCCTGGAGATGGGAAGTACAGTGCCTGCACTCTGAAGGAGGGGTGTTAATGTTGCAGTTTAAAAACTGTAGTGTAAAGCACCCTTCTGGCAAGACAGTGATGGAGTGAATGATGGTGAAAGTTTTTCTTTTTCGGGCCACCCTGCCTTGGTGGGAATCGGCCAGTGTGATAAAAAAAAAAAAATTTCAGGGAAACCGGTTATTTTTATTTAGCCGGACTCGAGTCCTGGAAATGGGAAGTACAATGCCTGCACTCTAAAGGAGGGGTTTGGGATATTAGCAGTTTGGAGGGATATGTTGTGTATCTTTATATGTATATGCTTCTAAACTGTTGTGTTCTGAGCACCTCTGCAAAAACAGTGATTATGTGTGAGTGAGGTGAGTGTGTTGAATGATGATGAAAGTATTTTCTTTTTGGGGATTTTCTTTCTTTTTGGGTCACCCTGCATCGATGGGAGACAGCCGACTTGTTAAAAAAAAGCCTTTAAAGAACCTTTACCTAGATTTTTGAAGGTCATCCTTATGTTAGCCAGCTTAGCACATGTCAATGATGACATGCTTATATGTAATTCAGGAAAGATCTTTAGTCTTTAACTCTTACAACCCAGTCTGAGGCCAGGTTTGCTTGTTAACTGCCTGTTCAACTACACTGTTGCTTTTAGTGGCCTGCTTACCCACATGGCCATCAGAGCTTGGCTGATCTGGTGCTTGAAGGCAGTGGTCTAGTTTTTCTTGAAAACATCAAGCTTTGTTTCAGGCACATTTCTGATATTTTAAAATAGATTACAGTGTTGAGACACCAATGTTGACATTGTTCTCCAATGTGCCTATGGTGTTTCTGTTTCACTGGTAAACACCAGTCATTCAACACCTTAAGTGAATGATGGTGAATGATTTTCCTTCTTTGGGTCACCCTACCTTGATGAGAAAAGGCCAATATTGTTAAATATATAAGAAAAACACCAGAATAGCTCTGTTCTTGTGAATACAAATAAGTAATAGGTAATTACATGTACATTCCACTTACTTGTCGTGTGGTTTGGGCTTCTCTGGTGAGCGTGCAACACTATTAGGTAAACGGAGAGTAACTCTTGGTGACCCGGGTCCGCCTCCAGGCTTTTCCTCTGAAGATTTGTTGGCAGGAGGAGTCCGCCTAGACATACTTGTGCAACTGCCACCTGATTGGGAAACAATAAACATTAACTTCAACAAAAGAGGAGGGTGGGGGGGGAAAAAGAAAAAGGGGAAGAGATGGAGGAAAACAGGGAGACAGAGCAGGAGGAGTGAGAAATAAGCACTTTTTGATATATTGTTGAAAAATAGTAAAGATGCAACAAGCAATTATACACAAGAGTTCCTCTTTCAACAAACCGGCCGCATCCCACCGAGGCAGGGTGGCCCAAAAAGAAAAACAAAAGCCTCTCTTTTTAAATTTAGTAATTTATACATGAGAAGGGGTTACTAGCCCCTTGCTCCCAGCATTTTAGTAGCCTCTTACAACACGCATGGCTTATGGAGGAAGAATTCTGTTCCCCTTCCCCATCGAGATAAGAGGAAATAAACAAGAACAGAACTAGAAAAATAGCAGAAAACCCAGAAGGGTGTGTGTATATATATATATGCTTGTATATGTATGTGTAGTGTGACCTAAGTGTAAGTAGAAGTGGCAAGACGTACCTGAAATCTTGCATGTTTATGAGACAGAAAAAAAGGACACCAGCAATCCAACCATCATGTAAAACAATTACAGGCTTTCATTTTACACTCACTTGGCAGGATGGTAGTACCTCCCTGGGCAGTTGCTGTCTACCAACCTACTACCTAGGACATTAGAGTTCTTTCTTTCTTTCAACACACCGGCCGTATCCCACCGAGGCGGGGTGGCCCAAAAGGAAAAACGAAAGTTTCTCCTTTTACATTTAGTAATATATACAGGAGAAGAGGTTACTAGCCCCTTGCTCCCGGCATTTTAGTCGCCTCTTACAACACGCATGGCTTACGGAGGAAGAATTCTGTTCCACTTCCCCATGGAGGTAAGAGGAAATAAACAAGAACAAGAACTAGTTAGAAAAATGGAAGAAAACCCAGAGGGGTGTGTATATACATATATGCTTGTACATGTATGTGTAGTGTGACCTGAGTGTAAGTAGAAGTAGCAAGATGTACCTGAAATCTTGCATGTTTATGAGACAGAAAAAAAGGACACCAGCAATCCAACCATCATGTAAAACAATTACAGGCTTTCATTTTACACTCACTTGGCAGGATGGTAGTACCTCCCTGGGCAGTTGCTGTCTACCAACCTACTACCTAGGACATTAGAGTTATACTTCAATATTATGTGTTAATGTTTTGGGTTTCACTTCTATCCTTTTTCCCTTCCAGACTCAGACCAGGCATCCTAAACTGTTCCCATAGGCATTAATGTTTCAGGTGATCAACATTCCTGCAGTTTGGTCTCAGACTAGGAATCCTAAATTGGAAAGGAAAAAGTAATGAAAAATATTAACAACAACACAGTCAATTAAATAAGAGAAGTGTATAGTGAATGTAAGGAGAAATTTTAAGGTTTACTTGCTATCTTACATCTTCATAAGACAAAAAGAGAAGACCAGCAATCCTGACCAAGTACAAAACATTTAACAGGCTTTCATTTCACTCAAATGACAGGACAGTGGTACCTGTCATAATAGTGAAACATAAGTCTAGTAAAATGCCTTTTAAATAAAGGCTTACTGTTTATATCTTTGATTTACTGTGTTGGCTTACTGCCTACCTTTCATTAAAGAAAAAGTAGTCTGGTAAGTGTTTTGCACTCTGCCAGAATTTTTAGTCTCGACATACAAGGAATATTAGAGTAACATAACATACGGTCATAATTCTCGTGACATCTGTGACACTAGTACACCAGGAAATACTGTATGAGAAATGATAAACAATTTTTGCATCTACAGTAGCATGTGAGAATGTAAATAAAAGAAAACCTTTTCTCAAAAATGCTTATGATAGGGAACAACGATGAAATTTGGATAAAAGTACTACTTATCATAACTTAAAAATTTTTAAAAGTTATACTATAGAGATGGTGACAAATTACAAATTGCCAAATAAGAGAGGCAAGGCCATCCCTTAACAGATAATTTCTGAAACACCACTTCTACTAAGTCATTAAATGAAATTCTGATCTTACTCTTGAAATGTTGAGGGAGTTCGTCACCGGAAGATGCACACAATTCCTGGATATGTCCACGAGCTGCAGCTTCTATCAATGATGCAATGCCTGGTGAGCGACAAACGTCTCGAGGGCTTTTACCTCGTCTGTTCACAACGTCAACTCCAGCACCACACCTTAACAGCAGCCGCACCAGCTAAGTTAAAAATGATTGTTTGCATAACAGCAAAATAACACTAATTATTCACCTGTACATTATATTATTTTTTAAACACACCGATGGTCTCCCACCAAGGCAGGGTCCTAAAAAGAAAAACAGAAGTCTTTCTTTTAAAAATTAGTACATAATTTATACAGGAGAAGGGGTTACTAACCCCTTGATCCTGGCATTTTTGTCATCTCTTTACGGCACATATGGCTTGCGGAGGAAGAATTATTTTCCACTTCCCCATGAAGATAAGAGAAAATAAAGAACAAGAGCTATTAAGAAAATAGAGGAAAACCCAGATGGGTGTGTGTATACAGCCCCTCCTCACTTACGGACGGAGTTCCATTCCTAAGACCACACTGGTCAACAAATTCATCATTAAGTGAGGAGCATACTAGAATGGTAGCAGGTTTGTATCAACCATCTTTGATAGTTTTAATGTCACCTTTGCACCATTTATAACATTTCTGATATATTTTTTAAATGTTTATACAGTAGTGTACATTATATATATGTACATTACTTAGGTATGCATACTGGTCAGAGAACTCGTCCTAAGTCCAAATCGTCGTTAACGAGTACATCTCTAAGTGAGGAGAGGCTGTATATATGCATGTGCATGCATGTGTAATGTTGCCTAAGCGTAAGTAGAAGTAGCATACACTCACTTGGCAAGACAGTAGTACCTCCCTGGGTGGTTGTTGTCTACCAACCTACTACCACAGGATGGTAGTACCTCCCTGGATAGTTGCTGTCTACCAACCTACTACCACAGGATAGTCGTACCTCACTGGGTGGTTGCTGTCTACCAACCTACTACCACAGGACAGTAGTACCTCCCTGGATGGTTGCTGTCTACCAACCTACTACCACAGGATGGTCGTACCTCACTGGGTGGTTGCTGTCTACCAACCTACTACCACAGGACAGTAGTACCTCCCTAGATGGTTGCTGTCTACCAACCTACTACCACAGGATGGTAGTATCTCCCTGGGTAGTTGCTGTCTACCAACCTACTACCACAGGACGGTAGTACCTCCCTGGGTAGTTGCTGTCTACCAACCTACTACCTAGGACTATATTATTACTTGCAATAAAAATAATTTTCAAAACTAAATATCAGCAGCAGCACAGAGAATCAGCAAACTTGCTTTTGACTTTATATTTTTTCATACAAAATACCCAATTATTATTTAGCAAGGAATTTGGCCAACAAATAAAGTCACAGTAAAATCAGTGCTACTGGGTAAATTATGGTGAATGTTTCCTTCTTTAGGTTACTCTTATCCTATTAAGAAATGGCCCAAGTTGTAAAAAAAATTACAAAAAATAATGCCCTTAAATACTCAAGAAGAGCAATAAAGTGCATGTTAAAAAAAAAGTGAACTCTGGGATATAGCCTTTCCTAGTGCAATACCTTGAAATGATTGTTGATACAGGCATCGTGTAGTGGAGTATCGTTGTCCAAACCTTTGGCATTAACGTCTGCTCCTGCTTCAATTAACAATTTGGACACGTCATAGTATCCTCGATTACATGCTTCATGAAGTGCACTCCAGCCTGATGGAAAATTCATTACTACATTAAACTAAATGAAAAACTAAAATTAAATACTATTTATATAAACCTTTTGCTCCATCACTGTGGGGCAGTGAAAGGCAAACTAAGAACTGTAACAAAATACACAGGAAAGTAAAAAAAAAAAAAAAAACATAATTGGCCCCCAAAATTTTTTAGGGTTTTGAATTCACAGTTTGATTTTTACTGATGAGCAACCTGCAAATGAATATGATTTGTAGTGCCCATTTTTGGAGGCATGGCATACAACCTAAATTTAAAAGTAATCATTAAACAAATGAAAAAACATTCCCATAAGCTACAATACAGAGTTTTACAAGACTGGATGACATTAGTTAGTATACATAGAAAGTTCCTGGTTATGCACAGCACTTCAGACAAGCTAAAATTTAAAACAAATATAACTTTTTTTTTAACATGCTGCCATCTCCCATTGAGGCAGGGTGACCCAAAACAAGAAACACTTTCACCATCATTCACACTATCACTGTCTTGCCAGAGGCTAGCAGATACAACAGTTTAGATGTCGCTCTAAACAGCAAATATCTAGACTCCTCCTCCTGAGTGCAGGCACTGTACTTTCTACCTCCAGGACTTAAGTCCAGCTAACCAGTCCCTGAATTACTTCACAAAATATTACTCCGCTCACACTCCAACAGCTCATCAAGCCCCAAAAACTATTCATCGACACTCACTCCTATCTAATATGCTCACACATGCCTGCTGTATGTCCAAGCCCCTTGCACACAAAACCTTCTTTACCCCTCCCTCCATATTAGATCAAATATACACTGCACATACAGTATATGTATACAAAGACCTCAAAGAGCCCTAATTCCAATGAAGGTAACAATCATACACACACATGAAAGTAGATTAAAAAAGTAGCAACATGGTACTTGATAATAAAAAATCAAACAAGTCCAGCCAAATAATATATACCTTTGATATACCTTTGAAGAATTTCGAGAGTATATCTCCTCTCTGAGCCCGGCCATGGGCCAGGCTCGTCTGGTCAACCAGGCTGTTGCTGCTAGAGGCCCGCTGCCCCACATATCCATCACAGCCTGGTTGATCTGGCACCTGGTGAAGATCCTTGTCTAGTTTCTTCTTGAAGGCTTCAACACTTGTTCCAGCAGTGTTTCTGATATCTTCTGGTAAGAGGTTGAAAAGTCTGGGACTTCGGATGTTGATACAGCGTTCCCTTATTGTCCCCACCGCACCCGTGCTCCTCACTGGGTTTATTTTACACTTCCTCCTATATCTCTCACTCCAGTATGTTGTTATGGCAGTGTGTAGATTTGGGACCAAGCCCTCGAGTACCTTCCAGGTATATATTATCATGTACCTCTCTCTCCTCCGCTCCAATGAGTACATGTTCAAGACTTGCAGGCGTTCCCAGTAGTTTAGGTGCTTTACTGGCTCAGTGTGGGATATGTTCTCAAGTACAGGAGGGGTGTTAATGTTGCAGTTTAAAAACTGTAGTGTAAAGCACCCTTCTGGCAAGACAGTAATGGAGTGAATGATGGTGAAAGTTTTTCTTTTTCGGGCCACCCTGCCTTGGTGGGAATCGGCAAGTGTGATAATAAAAAAAATAGAAAATAAATAAAAAAATAATTTAATAGAGATAATGAATAATTTCAGTAACGAATATTGAAACGGTGGTGGTCACATAGGGAAGCCAATACAAACTGTTGTGGGTATTTACTAAAAAAAGATATGGGGTAAGTGATTCAACTCTAGCATCTATACACACAGTGCCAGCTTTAGCTTAGTTTTAAATCAATTCACGCATGCATGCACGCGTGTGCATGCATGCGTGTGCACACACATGAACGTAAACACATAATTATATACATGTAAATGGTTATTATTGGTAAAATATTTTAAGAATAATGTATTTGATATATTATAGATAACGAGTAGTACAACAGTACAGTGGTCCCTTTGTTTATAATATAGCTGAAGGAGTGCAGTGTAAGCAGTTATTATGTATACCTGCAGACAAGGAAACCAGAGGCTGGATGGACAGCATGACTGTGAACACAATCAGGTAAGACAAATATTATTACTTCAGCACGTCACGTACAACTACATCACTGAGGTCAGCGTTCCTCATGTAGTTCTATGTCATGAGCTCAGATCACTCGGATAAGCAGTAAATTTTAGCCTAGATACGAGAGAATGGATCTGTCTGGAGCGTGTGGACAGTATAAATCCCGCCCCATACACTGCACGATGGATGAAACTACTCTTATGTTTATGGTTTAAATAGCAAATTTGTGATATTTTTTTAGATGATTTTTATAGCTTTATTGGCTGTTTCTTGGTATATTTGATAAGACTGAAAGACTTACTAATGAAATTATGGGCTCTGGTGGCCTGGTGGCTAACACTCTCGCTTCACACGGCGAGGGCCTGGGTTCGATTCCCAGCCAGAGTAGAAACATTGGGCGTGTTTCTTTCCACCTGTTGTCTATGTTACCCATCAGTAAAATGGGTACCTGGGTGTTAGTCGACTGGTGTGGGTCGCATCCTGGGACACTGACCTAATTTGCCCGAGATGTGGAGCATAACAAGGGGCTTTCCATATAGTAGTATGTCATTGTTGTCAGCTAGGACTGTATACCTTGTACATGTACTTGTAGTAAATAAATAAATATAGATAGCCCAAAAAAGTAAAGACAAATCTGATTAAATACCAAAATACTGTAGCACAAAATTTTTATATCAAAATATAATTCTTTATAAAAATATAGCAATTTATTATCAATTTATCTGGACTATTCTTTTAATAAATGTATTTGTGGTAAACAAAAGTAAAGAACAAACTTCAATAGGTTAAAGGTTATCATACACAAAATAACATTTAACTTACCAACTGCTGTTAGACATTGTACTGAAGTTACAACAACCTCAAAACTTATACATCTAAGTAAATAACTTGTAAAAATGGCCACGAGTAGGAAGGTGGAGGTTCATATGGCGAGGTGGACGACATTGTTGGTTATTAAGGTAGGTAGTGAAGCCTAAGTGTGTGGTGCAGTTGTGTGTTATATATAGCGTAAGAAAGAATGTGACAAAGAGGAGGAGGAGATAATAATGAGTAGTAACTTGTTGTAACCTCAAGAGACGCCCAAACCTCACTCAGGTCAACCAACCCACACAAAGAAAACCTCATTCCTTCACACTACCTCATCTTCCCACTCCACTTTACATTAATATTGGTGATTCATGAATGTAGGCGCCATAATACAGTCCCTATATGCACCACTAGTCAATATAAACCACTTACTTGAGTTAAAACAACAAAGAAAACAACGAACTGCGGCTACTCAGAACACACCACATTCAAACACGAACTAAAACATTTATTTTACCACAAACTTAAAAATCAATTATATCTACATTTACCAATCAAAACCAATCAAAAATATTAACATTTTAATATTTATTTGTAATATATAGTAAGGAATAATAATTTTAACGTAACAAAGAATGATGTCTTCCCATTTCTAGCGACTTTATTAACTCTGTTTTCTTTGACGTTTACCAGGATACACTTATCTATTTTACTTACTTCTTATTCATATGCACAATTCATTGAAAATTATATATTATTACGCCCAGAGAAGGCGCCCAGCCCAGTCCAGCTAACCCAGCCCAGTCCAGCCAAACAAGCCCAGTGCAGTCAACCCAGCCCAGTCCAGCGAAACCCAACCCAGCCCAATGGAAATAAGTCACTCTGACTTTTTTGGGTTATCCTAGGTTCTCTACACATATGTTGCTATGTATGATCATCTATGTAACTGTATTTGTGTATACCTGAATAAACTTACCAGCCCAGTCCAGCCAACTCAGCCCAGTCCAGCCAACCCAGTCCAGCCAACCCAGCCCAGTCCAGCCAACCCAGCCCAGTCCAGCCAACCCAGCCCAGTCCAGCCAACAAAGCCCAGTGCAGTCAACCCAGCCCAGTGCAGCCAACCCAGCCCAGTGCAGCCAACCCAGCCCAGTGCAGCCAACCCAGCCCAGTTCAGCCAACCCAGCCCAGTCCAGTCATCCCAACCCAGTCCAGCCAACCCAACCCAGTCCAGTCAACCCAGCCCAATGGAAATAAGTCACTCTGACTTTTTTGGGTTATCCTAGGTTCTCTACACATATGTTGCTATGTATGATCATCTATGTAACTGTATTTGTGTATACCTGAATAAACTTACCAGCCCAGTCCAGCCAACCCAGCCAGTTCAGCCTAGTTCAGTCCAGTCCAGTCCAGCAAGACCAGGCAGTCCACCCCAGTTCAATCCAGTCCAGCCCAGTCCAGCCCAGTCCAGTCCAGTCCAGTCCAGTCCAGCCAGTCCAGTCCAGCCCAGTCCAGCCAGTCCAGTCCAGCCAGTCCAGTCCAGCCAGTCCAGTCCAGCCAGTCCAGTCCAGTAAAGCCCAGCCCAGTCCTGCCAGCCCAAGTCAGTCCAGTCCAGCCAGCCCAGTCCAATCAGTCCAGTCCAACCAGTCCAGTCCAGCCCAGCCAAGTCAGTCCAGCCAAGCCCAGCCCTTCTGTATAAATTACTAATTGTATAAAGAAGCATTTCTTCTTCATCAGGTCACCAGCCTCAGTAGGTGACAGCCGATGTGTTGAAAAAACAATTATGTAGTTATCATTTTTGTGCATCAATTAAAAAGAAGACACTGTACTGTACAAATAAAAATATTGTTTTACAGATCCCTAATAAAAAATTTTTATTTCAATGGATAATGCCCTTTATTAAGGAGAGTCCTGGAGGTGGGAAGTACAGTGCCTGCACTTTAAAGGACAGGTTTGGGATATTGGCTGCTTGGAGTGACATCTAAACTGTTGTATCTGAGTGCCTCTGAAAAGAGTGATCATGTGTGAATGCTGGTTAAAGTGTTTCCTTCTAGTGTCACCCTGCCTCGGTGGGAGATGGCCGACGCGTCAGAAAAAAATAATGATGATCACATATGCATAGCTGGCAAAATAAAGCTAGGGAGCTCCCCTCTGCTGGATGTGCAACTTTTTGCAAGGGAGGACCTTTCGTGTAGCAGTGGGTGGCGCTTTGTCCTCACCCTGCCCTGTATACCGGGGAGTGCCCCAGGGATCTGTTCTTAGCCCACTCCTTTTCTCTGTCTTATTGTCGGATCTCCCTTCCATCCAGGGAGTGCATACCCTGGTATATGCGGATGATGTGGCCCTTATGTGCAGTGCCCCAGCTTTACTGACAGCACAGGAAACACTTCAGGGTGCCCTGCAATGCATAACATCATGGGCCACCACCTGGGGTTTGGAGGTTAGTGACACTAAGTCCAAACTCTTATGCTTTACTAGACGTCGACTCCCCACTCTTCCATCAGTCTCACTGAACCAAACGCCAATCCGTTTGGTCTCTTCTCATCATTGGTTGGGAGTCACCTTAGATGCACCATTCTTGACATGGAAGAAACACATAGCGGCCCTTCACCTCTCGTGTGCACGTCGCACTGCACTTACGCGCCGGATCTCTGGCACCAAGTAGGGGACAGATCGAGACCTTCTCTATAAGTTCTATATAGCTATGGTTCGCAGCAAGCACACTTATGCGAGTGAAGTGTATGGCTCGGCTTCTTCCTCCTCTCTTCATTGCTTAGACATTCTCCAGAATTCAGCCATCCGTAATATGCTGGGGGCATTTCCCTCCACCCCTATCGCAGCCTTGGAGGCAGAGTCGGTGATAGTCCCTCTCTCGTCGGTGAGGACAGCGAGGAACTGTTTACGACTCTATCATATGGCCTCTCTGCCTTATACTCACCCTTGTCGCCTCTCTTCACAGATGTGGGAGACAGCCTCTGTCCCCCCACGTTTGGCTCAGCTTCTTTGTAGCCAGAGCCCAGCGTTCCCTGTCCTGCCTTACTCTTCCTGCACTTGTGATGACTCCCTCCCCTCTCCAATCTCCAGCTTCCCCCTGGCTGGACCTGACACGATACATTCACCTGGATTGGCACTACAGGAACAGGGAACCCCCTCAGTTAGCTGCATTTCTATCTGAAGAGTTTTGCTCTGTTACATACGGCTCTTCATTCTCCGTCTACACGGATGGCTCGGCACGGTCCTCCCCCCCTTCCACATCATCTGCAGCCTTCTTCATTAATCTCTCCCTGTGTCAAACATGGAAGTTGGACCCTGCTCATTCTGTTCTGGCATGGGAGCTCTTTGCCATTCACCAGGCTCTGGCTTTTGTCCTAGATCACATTCCCCCACAACCATTGGTTCTCTTCTCAGATTCCCAATCTTCCCTGGCACTTTTGTGCTCTGCCCATCCACGATCACTGTGCGCCCTCGTTCGTCGGACACAATCTCTCCTCCTGCGCTTCTTGCGGAGCCCAGGTTGGAGCATCTCCCTTCAGTGGGTTCCCGCCCATGTTGGAATCTGGGGTAATGAAGTGGCAGATCGGGCAGCCTCCCTCGCGCACACACTTCCTACTGTTACCCCTCTTGCCCTGGGCCACAGTGATATCACAAGGGCTGTTTGGAAGGGAATCTGTCATCAGTGGCAAGAGGGCCTTGCACATTCCCTCTCTTCTTCGGCGTTGGGCTCTGTCCAAACTTTTAATGGTCCCTGCCCTTGGGCTCGCCATCCCAACCGCTTGGTGGACGTTGCACTGACTCGCCTTCGAGTCGGGCACTTGCGACTGGCGGCTCATCTATATCGCCTTCGGATGACGGACTCTCTGTACTGCCCATGGTGTCCCTCACAGCCTGAGACGGTGGAACACTTCCTGCTGTGGTGCCCACGTTATCACTCTGCATGGACTACTCTCCGTGCGGCCTTGCACACACTTGGGGTGCATACTTTCACTCTACCTGTCCTCCTCAACAGGAAGGGGTTTCACCCACTGGACCATCAGGAGATATTGGCCTGTACCTGCTCCTTCCTGCTGGCTTCAGGGCATATCAGAGACATATAATACATAGTTATTAGTCAAGACATTCTTCCACTTTGGTTGATTTTCCCTCTCCTAGCACTGGACGGCCGGGCTCGATACGGTGTAGGCTGTCAGTGGCCCTGAAACCCAACAGAAGAAGAAGAAGCTAGGGTTTGAAAAATGAAATTCCACCACAAATATGTGGTAAAAATGAGAAATTTTTGAAAATAGAAAAACATTAGGGAAGAGACTTCACTAACCAGCATAGTCAGTGGCATTGACATCTGCCCCCTGAGATATTAGCTGAGATATACGGTCAGTATCACCCTTGATAGCAGCAACATGTAGAGGAGTTTCCCCACGCTCGTTCCGTTTGTTTACTCCTCGACCGAAGTTTGGAGTGTTTGGGGTACGAGGACTGCTGGAATGGCTCAGCTCTGCCTTGTCTGCAAAACAATAAAGCCTTTACACAAATCTACTTCTATGTTGCTTTATTTTCTGAAAACTAATGCTAGTATTTTTACAACATGTTAGATTTTGTACTGAATGACAATGATAAAAAATTAAGAGATCAGATGGAATGAAAAAAAATCCAGCACATATTTAATAAGTGCAATATTCAATAGAATTTTTATTGCAGTAACTACTGTAATAATTCTTTTTCATTTTGTTTGGGCGAAGCTCAGGTATGTACAAAAGAGCAAAAATTATTTTCCAATAAAAGTAGGCCTTAGACAGGGATATGATGTCACCTTGGTTGTTTAACATATTTATAGATGGGGTTGTAAAAGAAGTTAACTCTAGGGTGCAAAAACAACATCCAGCATTGGACCCCTGCTTAGACGAGATGGGACCTACACGGATGACAGCAAAGAAATGAGCAAGATACTAAGTCCCAATACAACTCGGAGTTCAGTGAGCCATTAACCAGACTCAGGGTCAACAATCTAAATGAATTTTTTACAACAGACTCAAAGTTTGATTAATTAAAAAAATCTCTGATAATATCCTAACACCACAAGACTTCAAAAAGGCAATTAACGACATGCCCATGCACTCTGCCCCAGGCCTGGACAGTGTTGGAAAAGCAATGATCATAGACAAACTGAGTGGATTTAGAAGGATAACTAGATAATGCTCAGTCAAACAAAAATGTCATCTGGGTTTATCATGAATTTGTTTAAACTGTGAATGAAGTTTCAAGATATAATTTTTTAAACCACATTGCCATTTCCCACCAAGGCAGGACGACTCAAAGAAGCTAAGACATTCATCATCACTCATTCAATACCTATTACCAAAAACACACAAGTATCATAATTCAACTACAGGAGGGCCCTGCTTATACAGCAGGCAAGGCTCCAAGCTACTGCTGTAAAGTAAAAATTGCTGTAAAGTGAAACATAGCCTTTTTTCACTTTCAAATGCATATAAAAGCCTGATAACATGTTACACTATCATATATAAAGTGAGCAATAGAGCTTGGCATAAAAAATGCACATACAGTACACACATTACTCATCTTCAAATATTTTTGTCCTTAGCTTATAGTGAGTGGTGAATACGTGTGCATATTTATTGTAGGAAATCTGAATAAATGAAGAATGGGTATAATTGAAAACCGCTGCATTAGAGAAATGCTGTGAAGCAATATGCTATAAAGCAGGGCCCTCCCATAACCATCAAAACCTTAACAAGATATAAATATGTAAATTTAACCAACCTGGAGGAGATGGTGAGGACATTTGCATAAGAAGTGCAATCTGTTGCCTCTCAGACATGGGCATGACTGGCCGGCTGGGAGTACGATGAGTAGTGGATACATCTTCAGCCCAGCCCACCATTGTTTTACCAACTCCCACACTGTTGCACCCTCCAACACTACTGCTACTCTTGGTTATTTTTTTATGGAGACCAATATTGATGCTGTTGGAGGGGTCAGTTAAGCCTTGGGTTTCAGTGAAGCTTTTACCTCTTAATTCACCTTCAGCTGCTGATACAAAAAATGTAATGTTCAATAATTAATTATTATTTAGGAGCTACCTAATTTACTTAGTTAATTATTTTTACATCTTTCAAGTACTACAGTAATCCCTGAATATGACAGCCTTAAAAAAAACAAAATAGACATTTTAGTAGCATGTAACTACATACTATATAGAAAATCCCTTGTTATGCAAAGCATTTCAGGCAGCCTTAAAGCTGAATTATAATTACTGATAGTACATGCGAATAAAAAGACAAAGTGTTTAAAATATTGGAGGTATTTAGTAATTCAATAAAAAAAAGTAAAACTAGTGATTTATTAAGAAGCTAGGTAGAAATATAACAATCTAGTTGAACACTGTCCACCATGACTCAAGTTCATTAAGCTGAGAGTTTATTGTACTACTGTATAATGACACATGTAATTCCCTAAACTGTAAAACACCTTGTATTACTTTTGAAAATAAAATTTGTATTTGCATTTTTATATGCATAAATCAGACACAAAATTAGGAATAACAAATTACATTAGTCTTAAGAGTTAATGCATTCTGAAAATGATACAGTACATAGTTCATTAAATGTTATTAAAAACCGAAAAATTACTAAATTTACTAAAAAACTTATTGAGTGAGGTATATTTAGAAACGACTATCAACACACAACACTAATATATCTGTAGTGAAGAGTTGTATGCTGTCTGAAGTGAACTGCATCAACACACTATGACAATTTATATTATTTATGAACAGTCAGAGTGTAAAGTTTACATATGATATAAAGCTCTGACATTATGATAATAGTTATTTATGATAGAGTTGGCATATAAAAAGCAGGGGTAAAACTGCTTATTTTTCATCAGAGCAGTGAAGTAAAAATATATAATAGTAAATAATTAATTTATTTAGGGACAGGTACACATAAACACAATCATCATACATAGTGTAAATTATGTAGAATAACCCAGTACAAAATTTAAAAGTAACTTATGTCCACTGGGGTCCTTGTAATACATGTATAAAGCTCCTGTTACATGCCAAAGAGAGAGATTTAGAGAGAACAGCATTCAAAATATTTTACTTATGTCAATCTTTTGGAAAGTACCACTGTTCATTTTGAGGGATAGATGATGGCCTATCAAAGTTTTCAAATATTAAGTTTTGAAGTTCTAAACATTTGAAAACTAAAGGTCATGTTAATTCTCTTTATTTGAATGTTGATATATCAAGGTAGTGTCCAGAAATTAGGGTAGTATACTGTTAAAGAAAATAAAACAAACATTTACTACATGATAAAAGACAGGTTATTACCTGGTTCATTCTCCTTCTGTTCTTTGCTAGCACAGAAGAGCTTGCGCCTGGAGCTGACCGGCCTCACCATTGTGGTCACCCATCAGGCTGCAAGAATAAAGCTCCAAGCTTACTTGTATGATGAGTCTTAGTCTATCTCAGCTCTTGTTTGTAATGTTTGATGATCAAGTTTAATGATGAGTGATTATCTCAGTTCTTGTTTGTAATGTTTGATGATCATCCTAAATGATGAGTAATTATCTCAGTTCTTGTTTGTAATGTTTGATGATCATCCTAAATGATGAGTAATTATCTCAGTTCTTGTTTGTAATGTTTGATGATCATCTAAATGATGAGTAATTATCTCAGTCTTTTTTTGTAATGTTTGATGATCATCCTAAATGATGAGTAATTATCTCAGTTCTTGTTTGTAATGTTTGATGATCATCCTAAATGATGAGTAATTATCTCAGTTCTTGTTTGTAATGTTTGATCTCAGTTCAGTATATAACCATGGGCTTTACAATTTACTTTTAATCTACCATTATAAGTTTATTATATCTTAGGAAATAATAATATCTTAGGTAAATTAATATGAGTTCAGAACGACCTTTGATATTTTAAGATCAGTACTTTAATGTCAAGACTTAAACACCAGTAAAGCTTATATTAACAAACCATGAATTAGTTGTGTGTGTGAGTATAAACACAAGCTAAATATACTTGAGTTAGTTAAGAAATATGATGATAAATTTAAGAGTTAACATTGAGAATAATAAAGGTGAGAGTTAGTACTAACTTAACTATCTTATACTCACATATCTACATCTTATACTGCTTATTTATTAGCTTTCAAGGTTATTTTAAGCATAGATCAAGGCGAGGTGAGTGTATAAAGGTGATCACTTGCCTTGAACATGACAAATGAGGTGATAGTGATGATGTAAACATAAGATCACCTTCACCTCAACAAACAAACAAACACACACACACCTACACTACTCTTCTCACTTCTTTCACACTCACTTACATTGTTTCTATCTCACTAACAAAAGTTTTCACAACCGTCACTAATTCACACGTCCACTGGCTCGCTTTTACTCATTTTTCAACTTGACAAAACACTTGAAATTATTGATTCTTGGGACGTTCGTTTTCCCGCGCAATCTGTGTGTTTTGGCAGCTGATGACGTCATGAGTGACGCTCACCCTGCGTCCTTACTGTATTATACAGTAGTCTATCATACACTACTGTATGATGACGTCATGAGTGACGCTCACCCTGCGTCCTTATTGTATATACAGTAGTCTATCATACACTACTATATGATGACGTCATGAGTGACGCTCAACCTGCGTCCTTACTGTATTATACAGTAGTCTATCATACACTACTGTATGATGACGTCATGAGTGACGCTCAACCTGCGTCCTTATTGTATTATACAGTAGTCTATCATACACTACTGTATGATGACGTCATGAGTGACGCTCACCCTGCGTCCTTATTGTATTATACAGTAGTCTGTCATACTACTGTATGATGACGTCATGAGTGACGCTCACCCTGCGTCCTTACTGTATTATACAGTAGTCTATCATACACTACTGTATGATGACGTCATGAGTGACGCTCAACCTGCGTCCTTACTGTATTATACAGTAGTCTTTCATACACTACTGTATGATGACGTCATGAGTGACGCTCAACCTGCGTCCTTATTGTATTATACAGTAGTCTATCATACACTACTGTATGATGACGTCATGAGTGACGCTCAACCTGCGTCCTTATTGTATTATACAGTAGTCTATCATACACTACTGTATGATGACGTCATGAGTGACGCTCACCCTGCGTCCTTATTGTATTATACAGTAGTCTATCATACACTACTGCATGATGACGTCATGAGTGACGCTCAACCTGCGTCCTTATTGTATTATACAGTAGTCTATCATACACTACTGTATGATGACGTCATGAGTGACGCTCAACCTGCGTCCTTATTGTATTATACAGTAGTCTATCATACACTACTGTATGATGACGTCATGAGTGACGCTCAACCTGCGTCCTTATTGTATTATACAGTAGTCTATCATACACTACTGTATGATGACGTCATGAGTGACGCTCAACCTGCGTCCATATTGTATTATACAGTAGTCTATCATACACTACTGTATGATGACGTCATGAGTGACGCTCAACCTGCGTCCTTATTGTATTATACAGTAGTCTATCATACACTACTGTATGATGACGTCATGAGTGACGCTCAACCTGCGTCCTTATTGTATTATACAGTAGTCTATCATACACTACTGTATGATGACGTCATGAGTGACGCTCAACCTGCGTCCTTATTGTATTATACAGTAGTCTATCATACACTACTGTATGATGACGTCATGAGTGACGCTCAACCTGCGTCCTATTGTATTATACAGTAGTCTATCATACACTACTGTATGATGACGTCATGAGTGACGCTCAACCTGCGTCCTTATTGTATTATACAGTAGTCTATCATACACTACTGTATGATGACGTCATGAGTGACGCTCAACCTGCGTACTTATTGTATTATACAGTAGTCTATCATACACTACTGTATGATGACGTCATGAGTGACGCTCACCTGCGTCCTTATTGTATTATACAGTAGTCTATCATACACTACTGTATGATGACGTCATGAGTGACGCTCAACCTGCGTCCTTATTGTATTATACAGTAGTCTATCATACACTACTGTATGATGACGTCATGAGTGACGCTCAACCTGCATCCTTATTGTATTATACAGTAGTCTATCATACACTACTGTATGACGACGTCATGAGTGACGCTCAACCTGCATCCTTATTGTATTATACAGTAGTCTATCATACACTACTGTATGATGACGTCATAAGTGACGCTCAACCTGCGTCCATATTGTATTATACAGTAGTCTATCATACACTACTGTATGATGACGTCATGAGTGACGCTCAACCTGCGTCCTTATTGCATTATACAGTAGTCTATCATACACTACTGTATGATGACGTCATGAGTGACGCTCACCCTGCGTCCTTATTGTATTATACAGTAGTCTATCATACTACTGTATGATGACGTCATGAGTGACGCTCAACCTGCATCCTTATTGTATTTTACAGTAGTCTATTATACACTACTGTATGATACGCTACTGTATTATACTTTATACCATGAGTGACACTCAGTCTGCATCATTATTGTATTATACAGTAGTTTATTATACAGTACTGCATTATACACTACTGTATATCATGAGTGCATCTTTATTGTATTATACACTATATGTCATGAGTGATGCTCACCCTGCATCCTTGTATTATACAGTACTGTATTATGCAGTAGTCTATTATACACTGCTGTATTGTACAGTACTGTATGTCATGAGTGACGCTCAGCTTACATCCTTATTGTATTATACAGTACTGTATTATAGTCTTGTATAACATGAGTGATGTTCAACCTGAGTCCTTATTGTATTATACACTACTTTATGATACAGTAGTGTATGTTGACATCCCCATTGATGCTCAACCTGTGTCTTTATTATGCAGTAGTGTATGTATTGTACACTATCGTATGTGTCGCTCAGCCTCCATTCTTATTGTATTGTACAGTAGTATATTATACACTATAATTCAGTACTGTATGTCATGAGTGATGCTCATTATAATAAAAAAAGAAGCGCTAAACCACAAGGGCTATACAGCGCTGCGGGGCAGGAAGGAAGCGAGGGTATCAGGTGGCAAAAAGGAGATGGATGAGTAATAGGTTACGGAGAACAGCGGGGCAGTGGATGGTGAAAGGGTAGAAGGCAGCAAGAGATTGATGTAGAAAGGGCTGGGGAGAGTGCGAAAGGTATCATCATCAGAGTTTGTGGAGTAAATCAGTCGTTGTCAAGAAGTCAATGAGAGAGTCAGGATTAAAGAAGGGTCCATCAGCAAGAAGGGAAGGTAAAGAGAGAGTAGGAGAGCGGAGACGACGTTGGAGGTAAATTCCGCGTGCTCGTTGATAGAGAGCGCAGTCTAACAGAATGTGGCTAATCGATACTGGAACTTGACACTGCTCACAGAGAGGAACAGGGTGCCTCTCCATGAGATACCCATGAGTAAGACGAGTGTGGCCAATGCGAAGGCGGGAGAGAGTAGTCTCCCAACCTTGGCACTGATGACAAGGAGACGCCCAGTAACCTACCCACCTTCACACCCATTGTTGCCAACGGGTATGAAGGTGGGTAGCTATTACAGCAAAATAATCTGGAAATGGAACACTTCTATATGTAATTGGTAGGTCATGTACTGCTGACCCTGCAGCAGTGTCTGCCTGTTCATTGCCCTGTACGTCAACATGACCAGGGACCCAACAAAAAACAATGTCTTTATGCTTGGTAGAGATACGGTGTAGCCAAAGTTGGATACGGAGAACTAGGGGGTGAGGTGTATCAAATTTCCGTATAGCCTGTAGAGCACTAAGGGAGTCTGAGACAACCACAAATGATGACACAGGCATAGATGCGATACGAATAAGTGCTGCAAGAATGGCATACAATTCAGCAGTAAAAATGCTAGCTCAACCTGTGCCCTTATTGTATTATACAGTATTATACAGTATTGTATGAGTATGTCATTTGATACTTAGCCTGCATCTTTATTGTATTATACAATACTGTATTATACAGTAGTGTACGAGTACACCATGTTACACTCAGCAAATGGAAATAAGTCACTTTATCTGACTTTTTGGGTTATCCTAAGTTCTCTACACATATGCTGCTATGTATGATAATCTATGTAACTGCATTTGTGTATACCTCAATCAACTTACTTACGTATTATCATTATTGTATTATACAGTACTGTGTTAAACGGTAGTTTATAATGACATCATCAGTGATGTTCAACTTGTGTCCTTTCTGTATTAGCATATTATACACTACTATATTAAACATTGCTGTATTATAACTATTGTATTATACACTAAGTGCTAAACAAAGGTCATTGAGCACTACTGTATTACAGTACTGTATTATACAGTATTATATTATACAATACTGAATTAAACTCTATGATGTCATCAGTGACACTCAATCTGCTTCCTTTCAGTATTATACACTACTGTATGATTAAGTCAACAGTGCAACTCAGCTTGCATCCTTATTATACACTGCTGTATAATACACTAGTGTATAATACAGCAGTGTATAATAAGGATGCAAGCTGAGTTGCACTGTTGACTGCATTTTCACAGCTGAACTGTATGCATTTCTCATCGCAATTTTATGTACTGTGTCCATACCTACCTCAAGATGCGTTAAGTCTCAAGACTCCTTCAGCACTTTGCAATCTATCAAAAAATTAAATTCACCTCATCCCCTATTTCTTCGTATAAAAACGTTGGCTGTGCTGCAGTTCTAGCAAAAACAAAGAAATCGTCATGTTGATGTTCAGGGCATCAAGCAGGCAGACTCTGCTGCACAGTCGGCCATACATGGCCTCCATGTTTCATATAGGGGTATTCCATTCTCAGACTATTTTGCTATAATCTCTAGCCACCTTCACAACTGTTGGCCAGAGTTGATTCATAACAAATTATAGTCAAGATGCATTTAGGTTTCTGGTCTTCTTATCAATGTCATGGTTGGGAGACTATGATCTCCCGTCTTTGCATCAGGCATACTCATCTCATACAGGGATATTCTATTAGACTGTCCCCTCTACCAGTAGGCACACAGAATTTACCTCTTGATGTCATAACAGCTCTAACACCCCTACTTTATCCTCACTCCCAGCTAACAACCCCCACTTTTGACACAGACTCCCTCTGACTTTTTGTCAGCAACAGACTTACTACACCAGCTTTGATTATACTTCCTTTAGCATTCCTCACTGCCCTTACTAACTCTACCTCTTGTTATCCTCTCCACTCTCACTGATCTCTGATCAGTCATATTACACCTTTTAGCACACCCTACCCTGCAGTGCTGTATGACCCTTACAGGTTTAGCACTTGGTTATGATTATAATAATCTACTTACTGCTTCAGCATGAAAGTAAGAAATTATAATATTAACATGAACAGTGTGTCATTACCATCACAGGTCTATGGTATAAATATTCACTGGTACTGCAAAAGAAAAGACGGATCAAGTAGTAGCTTTATTGAATACATTTTAGTTGCTCATTAAAAAGAAAAAAAAATGGCACTAGTTGAAAAAATATTGTAACAAAGTATAGAATACTGAAAAAGTCGTGAAATATATATAAAACTGTAACAAGAATATAGATATAAAAAAAATTCATAGTTTTAACACAAGCTCAAAATAAGCCCTGGAATGTGGTGCGTTAACATACTCCAATGGACCATATGCAAGTTTACTTAAGATAAACTTTTCTTATACATGCTGCAATAAAATAAATTAACAGCTGCTTATGTCAGCTTAATAATCTTTAGTTGGTCATGACAACCAATTAGCTATGCCTTATGGGGTCTGGATAGCAGACGTGCAATTTTTATTACAATAATCTTCAACAAACAAGAATGGATGTGGTCTTATGTCTGCAGCTAGCTACTTAATTACAGTATGTTGTGCCCGAGGAAAAAATCTAAATTGCACAAAATGAGACTTCCACTGGATGTACATATGCACCTTGCTGGAAAACACTTGATGGCATCGTCAACGACAACAACTAATGTTCATAACAAGCCAATAACAATGAGAATTGTGTGTTTACTCGAGATGCAATACTACCATACTTTGTAACAACTGTCTGCAATGTTATAGGAATATGATTATAATTTATAAATTTAATTAAACAAAAATGCTGGACATGAAAAAGAGTTATTATTACTGTTGCACATTCATGGAAGAAGTGCTAAACCCATAGGGGTAATATAGTGTCTGGGGAAATGGTGGACACTCAGGTTTGACCTGAGGAAAGGAAGGTCAGGTTAGTAATAATAATAATATCAAGTTAAGTGCTAAACTCGAAAGTTATACAGCACTGAAGGGAGAGAAGTGTGAGAAGAGGAATATATGAGGGGTAAGAGAGAATTAAACCCGTGGAAGGATCATGGAGGTTGTAAGAGTGGACAAAATAATTGACAATGGGCATTGTGCCGATCTTGCAAAGATGGGGCATTTACCTCTGCATATAGGCTCTCAAATAACAAAGATAAAGAGAAGCCCTGAGACAGAGACAATCTGCAATGATGAATAGAATCAAGTTTGCAAAGAGTACTGAGGAGGCAGAACAGAGCTGGTCATTATAGTCCAGTTAAGAAAAGATTTGGCAGAATGAAAACAGAGAAAAATGGGCTAAAGTTTTGAGGTTTAAGTGGCTATGATAAGCAGCTATTAGGGAAGTTATACAAGGCTTCCAGGACATTCAATGATCACACAGAAGAACAAGAAATCTGATTATATCCTATTCAGGGACCAAGAACCTTATCCATGGAGGCAAAAATGGAGAATGACCCAGACTATAATGGTACCAACACTCATTTATATGGTTATGAAGCATAAGTTTTAAATGTTTCAGAGAGGAGCCTGGAAATATTGGAGATGTCGTGTCTGAGGGCAATGTATGGTGTGAATATTATGCAGAGAATTCATAGTTTGGAGACAGGAGGTGCAAGGTTGCTAAAAGTATTATCCAGAGGGCTGAGGTGGTTTGGACATTCAGAGGATGCAACTTAACAAGATGACCTGGAGGATGTATAAATCTGCAGTGTGGAGGGAAGGAGGGGTAAGGGTCATCGTAGGAAAGGCTGAAGGGAGGGGGGTAAAGGAGGTTTGTGTGTAAAGGGGATTAGACATCCAGCAGGCATGTGCAAGTGTGTTAGGAGTGAGTGGAGGCAAGTGGTTTTTATGATGTGCTGCTGGAGTGAGAAAAGCGAGATTTACAAAGGGATTCAGAGAAAATGATTAGCCAGACTCGAGTCCTGGAGGTGCAAAGTACAATGCCTGCACTCTGATGGAAGGGTGGGGATGATGCAGTTGGAGGAGGGTTCATCTGAGCCATAATGTAAGCACGCCACTGGCAAGAGTATGATAGAGCGAGTGATGAGGAAAGAGTTTCTTCTTTTTGGGGGTCACCCCTACCTTGTTGCATAACAGCCAGTGTAAAAAAAGAAAAAAAAATGCTGAGGACATAGCCTTAACCCTTTCAGGGTTTCCGACGTAATAGTACGGCTTACGCACCAGGGTTACTGATGTACTAGAACACCTAAATTCTAGCGCCTTCAAATCTAGCGAGAGAAAGCTGGTAGGCCTACATATGAAAGAATGGGTCTATGTGGTCAGTGTGCGCAGAATAAAAAAAAAACCTGCAGCCCACAGTGAGTAATGAGAAAAAAAAAAAAACGTCGTTTTTGGATTAAAACAGCGACTTTGCACTGTATTTTCGTACGGTATTTATGGTTGTATTTTAGTTTTCCTGATCTCATTTTATAGAATGGAAGACATATTACATAAATTACGATGATTTTGATTGGTTTCACAATGAAGAGTACCTTAAAATTGAGCTCAAATTAGCAGAAATGTTCGATTTTTACCAAAGTTCAAAAGTAAACAAATCATGCCAAGCGTCCAATACACGTCAACTGGTGAGTCTAATATTCTTTCACAAGTGCTCTGATATTATTTATACCATTTCTACACTAATGCAGTAGTCTGCATAACAGTAAATCTTTTATTATTAGTGAGAATAAAAATTCAAAGTGGAAAGCAAAAGAAATGTAAGAGGGGCCTGGGGACGTGACTAATGAACAGAGAACTTGTTATTTTAGTGCCAAGAATGTCTGTCTTGTTTATTCTGAACCCTATTTGGAAATTGGCATCTTCTGAAACTTGTGTGAAATTGGCAAAATTGCTAATTTCTAATCACTTTATTGGACAGTTGAAATTGGTAAATGGGTGGTTTCTTGTACTCATTCAATAGAAAAAATGGAGTTCTAGCGAAATAAATATGATTTTTGTTGACTAGTCCATAGGAATTGGCCGAAAATAGGGCTCAAAGTTGGCGAAATCGCCGATGAGTAAACATCGTCGAGACTGCTAACTTCGCGAGAGCATAATTCCGTAAGTTTTCAATCAAATCTCATACTTTTGGTGTCATTATGATTGGGAAAAGATTCTCTATCATTTCATAAGAAAAAATAATTTTTTTTTTCCGAAAAATTTTCGACCCTGAGAACGAGTTATGGAGAGGACCTCTCGACCCTGAAAGGGTTAAGGGAGCCCTCAGCCTGGACAAAGCCAGGGGAAAAAAAAAATAATTATTTACCTGGACACAAGTACCCCATGAAAACCAAATTGATGATGAGAGAGAATTATGGGTTTCCAAGTACCAAGTTAACCAAGTGCTCTAACTCACAATTTGCACTAGTAAGAGCAATGGGTCTGTAATGAGAGGCGTTGGACCGAGGTCAGGTTCCATTCCTTTGAACACGAGCCCCTCACCAGCATTAAGGAACTCCCTTAATAAGGGAAATAAATGCTTACAAGACTGATAATGGTAATGTTTGGGTTAACTTGTCTTTTAGAGGTAACAAGTAAAATGTACTAATATTTAAAAACAAATACTATTTTGAAAGGGGTCTACATTGATTGAGAGATTGATGTATTATGAGGGTATCAAATGTGGAAGCATGTAAATATGCCCTCAAAAACTGTAATTCATTTACCAAAGAAATATTAACCACCTCTACTCTATTCTGGGAATATTAAGGCACACTCAGCTTCTGGAGCCATTTAAATATCACTGAAACTATTGTTCTACAGCAAAGTGATACAAATACGCAAGAAAAAATAATCACTGTTCATTAAGTTTATAATAAGGCGAGGTTAACTGATCAGTCTCAAGTTCAATGTCTCGCATTTTTGGCCATAAAGCAAAAAACAAAAAGCACGAGACATTTTGCATAACACACATTTCCCAGCAGCAAGAGTATTCTACATGTATATTTTAGACTTGACAATTCATTACATACATTCATTAACTGGCCAGGAGCTGATATACCAAAATTCTGATTATCCAACTCAAGCTTACATGCACTATTCACACATTACAGGGAATTAAATATTTCACTGGTCAATTAATTAGTTTTCCCACAGTAATATTTAAAAAAAAGAAAAGAAATATCAGTGTCTTAATTCACATACCCATTCTTAATATCAAATGACTCAGTACTGGCAGTGTTATTCAAATGCTATGGGTAATCCAAACTGCAGGTCGTCAAAACCCAGGTAAACCTGATGAAAGTGTACTCATTTTGATTGATGAACAGCCTTCCTTGTTAGTTTGAGAATTTTGAGAGGCCAGTTAAAATTGGAAGACTACATCGTAACTGATGACTTAACACTAAATGGCCAATAACCTAAAAAATTATAATTAATTTATAATTACTCTTAGACTAAAATCTCTACAGATTAACATAGTTGGTGGGAACTGGATAAACAGACAGAGGTCTCCGTTACATTAGAGGCTGAACTTTAGTAACAATAAGAAACTTTAATGCTACGAAGTAGCAGCATTGATTAGTTCATTTTACTATTATTTTGATGCATTACATCACAGTTTACCCTGAAGATCACATGTTATTTGCATCACTACCATCAGTTTTCACTGACTGCTATGGGAAATATTTCTTACCATGAATGATAGCAGAGAATTGATAATTTGAGTGCCATCACTACGCAATATTCATATTACTGAATGATGAATTTTGATGTTTAGTGTAACTAACACATGCTCTACCTTGTCTATTAATTTGTTCTTTAATCAAGTTTTCACCTTGTAAACATGACTGGTAGCCACAAAATTTTTATCAGAAATATTTTGCCTTGTGACAGCTGGTAAATACAGCTTTTTATACACATTTTGACTATCTTTATTTTTTACATGTAAAATTAAAAGGAAAACTTGCCCAATCCATAATGCTTGGCCATTAGAGAAAAGGATAAAATTGTAATAAGTTGTAAGTGTTGAAGAATTAACATAATTACAGTACATCATCTGCTGACAGGCTCTACATACTAAAAGTGGCTTTTAACCTTTAAACTGTCCAAAGGTAGATCTACGTTCACGTGCGTAGCGCTCCATCCTTTATTTTCTCCATTTGAAAGCATGTTAAAAAAGAACGTAGATCTACATTCGGAGCACTACACAATGAACGTAGATCTACGTTTGAACAGTTTAAGGGTTAACAAATGTTTTTCTGTACACAAATGAGAAATATACAGTAGTATTTTTAATAACAAAAAGAAATGCCTGAGTGGTGGGAACATTTAAACAATGAAAAAAGGTAAAAGCAAAAGCTCAAATATAGAAAAGTAACAAGCTGAAAAACAAATTACTAAACAGTACCATGGCTGAAAAAAATTCACAACTAACCCACAATTTGTTAAAGAATCTTTAGATTATTTTTGAGAGTTGATAATGATCCTTAACAGATTAAAATATTGTCTGAAGTTTCCTATTCAAAGAGGATAAGTTGTGAAAATTAGCAAGCTTTAGTGTGGTGTGGCAATAGTGTGCATCACACCACATGCTATACACACTCAGTGTAACAATAACTGGTTTTAAATGAAACTAACAAGACACATTTTGGAAACCATATTGCTAACCAAAGATAATTCCATCATATTTATTAACAATAACTAAAGTAATACTGGCATGTTTATCCAAGATATTATGAATTTACCTTTTTTTGAAATATGAGTATTAAATATCTCTCAGAACTAACTAAAAACTTTAAAAAAAGGAAAAAATTTAGAGAGCAAATGGTGAGAGTATTACTAAAACCAATGACAAGAGAACAACTTTCACTATGCTGCTTTCTCAAGATTAACAGAACATCCACTTAACATTATTCTCATATTCTCATTCACTAAAAGTATATTTTTGGTAAAAGATTTAATGTAAACCATCCCCTGAAATCTATGACACCCATGCGCATGCACATCACTGCTTGAGGGGATAATTGTCATAATTATATCTAATTTATGCAGTATAAGTATTTATACCGATATCTAAAAACATATGCTCATTTATGCACAATGAATTATGTAACAAAAAGGTTCTGAATTGTCTTATGAAAGGTTCAAGAATTAATTTCAATGCCAAAATTCTTATCCTGTGGCTTACTAGTCACTGTTAAATAGCCACATTAAGAAATACATAAGAAATCCCAATTTTCAGCATTCTTGCTACTGATGAGATCCTGATGAAAACCTTCACAAAGTTTATCTTTCACAGACTAAGTACAGTACATGCCATTATTTTCAAAAGCTTTTTATTATGCTAAGTACTTGCATATATTGTCAATATGTCTTTTTTACTCTAACTTTGGATTATTTTTTGTCCTGGAGTTGGGCTTGCATCCTGGCCATCATTTCTTGCATCTTGCGAATCTGTGCCTCCTTTTCTTCCAACTCCATTACCATGCGATCCTTCTCTTGTCCAACAACTGGTGGAGAATTACTGAAAAAAATAAATACATAAATAAATACAGTACATAGTATAGAAATTACTCCTACATAATTTGCTAAAATATAAAGCCACCTCAGTTTTCACAAATAAAAAAAAAATTGAATGAAAAGAGTAATAATAAATCAACAAAATTTAGTATGACAGTACTGTTAAGACAGTGTTCAACTGCTGGAAAACTATTAGTGGGCTACATTAACCCTTAGAGTTACTCGAAGGGGCCTTGCCACTCTTTTAATTTTGGGTACTAAACATTGAAGGTTGTTAGAAAATGTTTGCAACTAGAATACAACCATAAATACCATACAAAAATACAGTGCAAAGTCGCTGTTTTAAACCAAAAACACGGTCAAAATTTTTTTTTTCTCATTACGGACTGTGTGCTGCAGGATTTTTTTTATACTGCGCACACTGACCACAAAGACCCATTCTTTCATATGTAGGCCTACCAGCTTTCTCTTGCTAGATTTGAGGGCGCTAGAATTTATGCGTACTAGTACGTCAAAAACCTTGGCGCATAAGCCGTACTAGTACGGCCAAAACCCCGAAAGGGTTAAAGGAATGCACGTGGTCATCAACAGTATTCAGGTAGGTTGTGGCATTTAAATGATGCTCAACTATTATGGAGCCTAATGTATGCCAGAAAATAATTCTCCACACCATTACACCAAGACCACCAGCCTGAACAAGACACTAGGCAGGATGGATGATGAATTTGTGTTGTTTACGCAAAATTATGACCTTACTATCTGCATGTCTCAGCAGAAATTGCAGTTCATCAGACCAGGTGACATTTTTCCAATCTTCAACCCTCCAGTTTTGATAAGCCTGTACCCACTGCAGCCTGTTTCCTATTCTTAGCTGACAGGAGTGGAGCCCAGTGTGGTCTCTGCTGCTGTAGCCCATCCACTTCAAGGTGCATGTTGTGCATTCAGAGATACTCTTCTGCACACCACTGCTTTAATGCATGGTTATTTGAGTTAATGTTATCTTCCTGTCACTTGGAACTAGCCTGGCCATTCTTCTCTGACTTTTCTCATTAACAAGGTATTTTTGCTCACAAAAGTGCCACTCATTGGATGTTTTGCATTTTTCACACCATTCTCTGTAAACTCTAGAGACTGCTGTGCATGAAAATTCTAGATTAGCAGTTTGAGATACTCAAACCCCCCTGTCTAGCACCAACAATCATTCCACAGTCAAAGTCACTTAGATCACATTTCTTCCCCATTCTGATGTTTGATCTGAACAGCTGAACCTCTTGACCATGTCTACATGCTTTAAGGTATTGAGGTGCTGCCATATAACTGGCTGATTGGTATTTGCATGAACGAGGTGACAGATCCACCTAATAAAGTGACCACCGAGTGTATCTAGCAAATAAAATAACCTTCTATTCTCAACTGACTGGTGAAGAAGAGGTTTGCCAAGATTTGAAAAACTTTGCAAAGATCAGCTTTAATATAAGAATCTAACAAACTGTTACCATGTTTGAAAGATAAGTAAAAATATAAAACATGTTTTGCTAGACAGTAACTTGAGTAACAAACTTCAAGCATATTTACTCTGGGATGACACACAAGCTTCAACAGACAACTAAACTTACATCTGCTTTTTAGATGGTAAGGAGTTTGTACTAGAGTGTGAGTTGTTGTTGATTGCAGTAGCAGCAGCAGCCAGAGGAGAGCCACCACCCTTGGCCAGCCTCTCAGATCTGTAGTTCTCATAATGGACATCTTGTGTCACCTCTGTCAGGTCCTGCATGTGTGTCCTAAACAATACATCAATACAAAATTTATTCTTCAACTCTATAATAATATTACCAAATATAAGTATAGACACGTTTGTGTCATAAAAAGACACACTTATGCAATATTAGACAACCTTGTTATGGCAACATATTGGTGACCTGGTTTTTATTAATCCCATACAGACAGGAAAACAGGAAACATAGTAATATGGAGGTCAGTCAGTGTAGGTGAGGTACACACAAAAATATTTAACGACTTCATCTGATGGCTGTCCAATGGCCTAAAATTGTTTTAGCACAAACTCTGAGAGACATTGAAGTTCCCAGTATTCTGCACAACTGTAATGCTAAGACAAATGACCACAAATGTGTGGGCAAGACACAGGGAGCTTCAATATCTCTAGTATTTTTTATTAAATAGACTCAGCTGTCAGGACACAACCATCAGATGAAATCATTAACCATTAGTTTCCACAACTGACCTCAACACTACTACATATTTTTTTATTTTTCTGTCTGTGATTGCTTAAGCCCCCTGGTGGGCAAAACAGTTCCATAACAAACTTACCTATTAACACAGCGGCCATCTCCCACCAAGGCAGGATGACCCGAGAAAGAAAACCTTTCATCACCATTTACTCCATCATTGTCTTGCCAGAGGCATGCTTACACTATAGTTATAAAACTGCAACATTTAACACCCCTCCTTCAGAGCGCTGGCACTGAACTTCCCATCTCCAGGACTCAAGTCCAGCCTGCCGGTTTTCCTGAATCCCTTCATAAATGTCACTTTGCTTACACTCCAGCAGCACGTCAAGTCCTAAAAACCCTTTGTTTCCATTTTCTCCTATCTAACATGCTCACACATGCTTGCTGGAAGTCCAAGCCCCTCGCACACAAAACCTCCTTTACCCCCTCCCTCCAACCTTTCCTAGACCGACCCCTACCCTGCCTTCCCTCCGCTACACATTTATACACTCTCAAAGTCATTCTATTTCGTTCCATCCTCTCTACATGTCCAAACCTATCTCAATAACTCCTCCTCAGCTCTCTGGATAATAGTGTTGGTAATCCCACACCTCCTCCTAATCTCCAAACTACGGATTCTCTGCATTATATTCACACCACACATGACATCTCAGACATGACACCACACATGACATCTCAGACAAGACATCTCCTACTGCCTTCAGCCTTCTTGTTGCAACATTCACAACCCATGCCTCACAACCATACAAGAGCACTGCTATAACTATACTCTCATACATTCCTCTCTTTGCTTTCATGGATAAAGTTCTTTGTCTCCACAGACTCCTCAGTGCACCACGCACTTTTTTCCCCCACGTCAATTCTACGATTCACCTCATCCTTCATAGATCCCATCTGCTGACATGTCAAATCCCAATTATCTGAACATATTCACCTCCTCCATACAGTAGGGCCCCACTTATATGGCAGGTTAGGTTCCAGGCTACTGCCGTAAAGCGGAAATCGACGTAAAGTGGAACACCCCTTTTCCACTTATAAATGCATATAAATACATACTAGATAACAAATTTACACTAACATATATTAAGTTAGCAATAGAACTAGGCATTAAAAAACAATAAAAAAGTAAAATACACATATAGTACACTCATTACTTACCTTAAAATATTTGAAGTCTTAATCTAGGGTGAGATGAGTAGTATGTATGTAGTCAGCCAGGCTATCATACCAGGTCACCCCACCCACATATAATATTCTATAACATTTAACCCTTAAACGGTCCAAACGTATATATACGTTTTTTCAACATCTGAAAGTATGTAAAAAATGTAGATCTTTTTTGTTTTACATTTGAAAATGTGTAAAAAACTATTATCTACATTTTTTTTTGTTATATTTGAAAATATGTAAAAAAAAGTAGATCTACTTTTGTAGCTACGAATTTGAACGTTGATCTGTTTGGACCGTTTAAGTGTTAAACATCCCAGAGCAATAAAATACATATACAGTTCACTCATTACTTACCTTAAAATATTTGTAGTCTTAATGTAGGGTCAGAGGTGAGTAAACGAGATAAACAAATAAAGAAAGAGAGGCAGAGAAGTGAAAGAAGAGAGAGAAGAGAAGGACAGAGAGAGAGACAGAGACAGAGAGACAGAGAGAGAGACAGAGAGAAGAGACAGAGAGAGAGACAGAGAGAAAAGGGGAGAGAGAAGAGAGAGAGAGAGAGAGAGAGAGAGAGAGACAGAGAGAGAAGAGAGACAGAGACAGAGAGAGAGAGAGAGAGAGAGAGAGAGAGAGAGAGAGAGAGAGAGAGAGAGAGAGAAAAAGAGAGACAGAGACGAAAAGAGACAGAGAGAAGAGACAGAGACAGAGACAGAGAGACAGAGAAGAGGACAGAGACAGAGAGACAGAGACAGAGAGACAGAGACAGAGAGACAGAGACAGAGAACAGAGAGACAGAGACAGAGACAGAGACAGAGAGAAAATCAGGACATGAGGGAGGGCAGCGCAGAGTTATGTAAACAAACCAGGTGAACGCAAGTTTTGTAAACAAACAAAGTGTACACGTCTGGTTTGTGTACAAGTTACATTGTGTACAAGTTGTCTCTACATTGATACGGTAGAATAAATAAATAAAGAACGCTCCCATTCTCATGTAACACCATTTTTAGTAGAAATGACACTCTGAGTGAAGGCAATGGAAGTAAGTCAGACCTTTTTTAGGTTATCCTAGGTTCTCTACACATTTGCTGTTACGTATGATAATCTGTGTAACTGTATTTGTGTATAACTGAATAAATTTACTTTCTTACATACGAAGGGAATAATTTTCTACAGTTACCCCCAGTAACACACTTTCTCTGATGCTGGACTAGAGAAAATGTTATTCTTGCCATCACTCGTACAAGTCTGGCTACCACATCTCGTATTTATGTTTATTTATTCTACTGTGGGGTGTATTTATCATCTTTATATGTTATGTATCGTGTTTATTATATAATTTTGAAAAAAATCTAGATGGATTAATGAAAATGCATATATTAACGTAATATGACATTTGGTGATTATTATTATTATTATCATTATTAATATTGCACCACTCGTACAAGGCATCTGACTCCTACATCTCGTATTTATGTTTATTTATTCTACTGTGGAGTGTATTTATCATCTTTATATGTTATGTATCATGTTTATTACATATTTTTGAAAAAGTATCATAGATGGATTAATGAAAATATGTATATTAACGTAATATACGACATTTAACCCTTAAATGGTCCAAACGTATATATACGTTTTTTCAACATCTGAAAGTATGTAAAAAATGTAGATCTTTTTTGTTTTACATTTGAAAACGTGTAAAAAAAACTATATCTACATTTTTTTTTTGTTATATTTGAAAATATGTAAAAAAAAGTAGATCTACTTTTGTAGCTACGAATTTGAACGTCGATCTGTTTGGACCGTTTAAGGGTTAATGAGACTCGATTATTATTATTATTATTATTATTATTATATTATTATTATCATCAGTACTAATATGGTGTCTCGAGATATAAGACGCTCTTACTGATTTTAATATGTACCTGCATGCCAGCACAGTGTATAAGTTTATTTAGGTACAGGTATACATAAGTATAATTATCAGAGTATATATAAAATATGAAATAACTTTTAAAAACACTTGAAATTTTGGAGTTTCCAGACATAATGGAGAGACTTAGTGCTTACAGATTTCACAGAGAATGTAAACAAACCAGGTGGGGCACGATGACCGTATTAGAAAGTCGTCTGCTATCCTGCTCTCCATTTTTTTTTTTTTTCCCAACAAGTCGGCCGTCTCCCACCGAGGCAGGGTGACCCAAAAAAGAAAGAAAATCCCCAAAAAGAAAATACTTTCATCATCATTCAACACTTTCACCACACTCGCACATTATCACTGTTTTTGCAGAGGTGCTCAGAATACAACAGTTTAGAAGCATACACATATAAAGATACACAACATATCCCTCCAAACTGCCAATATCCCAAACCCCTCCTTTAAAGTGCAGGCATTGTACTTCCCATTTCCAGCACTCAAGTCCGACTATATGAAAATAACCGGTTTCCCTGAATCCCTTCACTAAATATTACCCTGCTCACACTCCAACAGATCGTCAGGTCCCAAGTACCATTCGTCTCCATTCACTCCTATCTAACACGCTCACGCACGCTTGCTGGAAGTCCAAGCCCCTTGCCCACAAAACCTCCTTTACCCCCTCTCTCCAACCCTTTCGAGGACGACCCCTACCCCCCTTCCTTCCCCTATAGATTTATATGCTTTCCATGTCATTCTACTTTGATCCATTCTCTCTAAATGACCAAACCACCTCAACAACCCCTCTTCTGCCGTCTGACTAATACTTTTATTAACTCCACACCTTTTCCTAATTTCCACACTCCGAATTTTCTGCATATTTACACCACACATTGCCCTTAAACAGGACATCTCCACTGCCTCCAACAGTCTCCTCGCTGCTGCATTTACCACCCAAGCTTCACACCCATCATATAACTTCAATAACACTCTACCATACACTTCACCAGGTACACTCAACCGAGACTTATTCCCTTAAAATTTTTACACTCTTTCATCCCCTTTGCCTTTATACAAAGGAACTATGCATCCTCTCTGCCAATCCCTAGGTACCTTACCCTTTCTCATACATTTATTAAATAAAAACACTAACCACTCCAAAACTATATCCCCACCTACTTTTAACATTCTTATCTTTATAGGAATGTTAAAAGTAGGTTGTTAATGTTGCAGTTTAAAAACTGTAGTGTAAAGCACCCTTCTGGCAAGACAGTGATGGAGTGAATGATGGTGAAAGTTTTTCTTTTTCGGGCCACCCTGCCTTGGTGGGAATCGGCCAGTGTGATAATAATAAAATAAAAAAAAATCTTTATCCCATCAATCCCAGCCGCTTTACACACTTTCATTCCACTCACTGCCCCACACACTTCCCCCACACTCACAACTGGTTCTTCCTCACTCCTATAAACGTTATTCTTCCTTGACCTATACAAAAATCACAGTTTCCCTATCTTAACAATTCCTGAAAATATTCCCTCCATCTTCCCGATACCTCTAACTCTCCATTTAATAACTCTTCTCTCCTATATTTAACTAACAAATCCAAAACATTTTCTTATTTTCAACAAAATTTGTTGATAACATCTCACCCACTATCTCATTTGCTCTCTTTTTACACTGCTTCACCACTCTCTTAACCTCTCTTTTTCTCTCCATATACTCCTCCCTCCTTACATCAATACTACTTTGTAAAAACCTCTCATATGCCTCTCATATGCTACTCTCTTTACATCATCATTCCACCAATCGTTCTTCTTCCCTCCCGCACCCACTTTCCTGTAACCACAAACTTCTGCTGAACACTATCACTATATTCTTAAACTTACCCCCATACATCTACTCCATTGCCTATACTGTCACTAACCCATTTGTCCTCCAACAGTTGTTTATATCTTTCCCTAACTGTCTCCTACTTTAGTTTATAAACCTTCACTTCTCTCTTACTTGCTGCTTCCATTTTCCTTGTATTCCATCTACTTTTTACTCTCACTGTAGCTACAGCTAAAAAGTGATCTGATGTATCTGTGGCCCATCTGTTAACATGCAAATATATCTAGCAATATTAACGTAGTCTCTCCTCACCCAACAACGGAGTTCTGTTCCTAAGACCACGTCGGTAAACGAATTCATTGCTAAGCAAGGAGCATACTATGATGGTAGTGGGTTTGTGCCAACCATCTTTAATTTTGCATATAAATAAGAGACCAAAAAAAAAAAAAAAAAAAAAGTTTCTTTTCTCTCATGTGGTATATTATCACCTGAAACTTATTCTGAATGCTCATATGGTAACTGAAATAACATCCAGTTTTATTACTCACCCAAGAAGGCATCGAAGTTTAATAAAGTCACAATGGTTGGGGTTTTCCACCTCAATAACACCCCAAGGATACTGTCGTCCTCTTACTTTCTTGCCACCAACATCTAATACTGTGGTGGAGCCCACAACTGCAAAAGGCACTGCCTCCTTCAACTGTCTAACCTAAAATAATAAGACCATAAGAAAAATTATTTTATAGGATGCACCATTTCCCACCAAGGCAGAGTGACCCAAAGAAGTCAAATACATTCACCATCAATCATTCAATAAAACTGCCTTGTAAGAAATGCAGTCTCAAGATTCAAATGACTTGAACTAGATCCACTATTGTTACTGCTGCAATACAATTACTTGACCTATAATTCTATGATTTTATCTCTGCAGGAGTGTCCCTTTAAATGACTGACCATGACAGAGAAACTCCTAAAACAGTTTCATTTGAAAACACCCTTGTAGTATGCCCTGCTGTCAAAGAAGCTGAACCTACAGTAAGCCCTAGAAATTTGCAGGCTTCCCTATTTGTGGGATTCAATTATTCAAAGCTTTTACTGTTTAGCAACCCACGAATAGTTTCCATTATCCAGAGGCACTTTCAAAAGTTCCTGGACTGCCATGAAAAAAATATACAGTAAAGGTTTACTTATTACAGCCTTCCTCAAAGTGCTTTCCTTAGGAGGATATATACTGTTCCCAGTGCCTCTGTCATTTCTCAAAATGCTTCTGGAATTCTTCTTTCATAATGGTATCTAGCACACCTTGGGCAGTTTTTTCTACTGAATCAATAGAATGGAAGGCATACTAGGAAAATAGCTAAGAATTTGGTCAAATTGAGCAATAGAATTGGCTTAAAATAGGACTCAAATTAACAAAATCGGCAATGCATAAAATGCACCCAGATCACTAACTTTGCACCTGCGTAGTTGCTTAAGTTTTCCATCAAATTTTATATTTTTGGTGTTGTTACTTTCAGAAAAAGATTCTCTACCATTTCATATTTTTTTAAATGTAGAAACTGTGAACACTTAATTTTGAGAGTCTGGACAGTAAAAGTGTTAGGACGCGATCAACAGAGATGTTTGCACGTTGGAGTAGGCATAATGCACAGCCATGAAGCCACACTTTCAAAGACAATAATTAATAGAAAGGACGGAGCAAAATAGGATGACTTGGAGTGTGTATAAATCTGTAGTTGCACGGAAGGCAGGTAGGGGGTCACCCTAGGAAAGGATGGAGGGAGGGGGTGAAGAGGTTTTTGTATGTAAGGGGCATGGACATCCTGCAGGCATGTGTGAATGTGTTATATAGGAGTGAGTGGAGGCAGTGCCAGATTTACCTATAGGCTTGGTGGCTGAAGCCTTGGGCCAATTTTCCATCAAATTTCGTATTTTTTGTATTATTACCTTCAGACAAGTATTCTCTACCATTTCATAAGAACAAGTAACAATTTTTTTTTTTTAAATTCTTGGACCCTGTGGACAAGTTTCAGATCAGGGATCTGGACCCTCAAAGGATTTAAAAGTATCACTAAAATGTGTTTTTAGTGTTCTCTAAGGTTTAGCAATAGTTATATTCTTTTGAAAGTTATTTATGCTAGTTTTATAGTGTTTGTTGTCATTTTAAGGCATTTTTAAGGCATTATGTCCAGTTTACATCAAAAACTGGGTTATGTCACGGCTCTTGGAACCAATTAATAATGTAGGGTAGGGGTATGACAATATTTAACAATAACATCTTATGTTCTTCAGAGGAGGAATTGTGAATTGTGGAATTTTAAGCACTCTTCTTCATCATCATCAGCTTCCTTGATTTTTTTTAAAATACTCTTTCATCTTTCTCTAGTCATGAGGATGGGGAATTGGAAGAGGCCTCACAAGTAAAATAGCCTAGGGCCTTTCTTCATCTATATCAGGCACTGAGTGGAGGCAAGTGGTTTTTATGACCTGATGAGCTGTTGGAGTATGAACAAGATAACATCTTGTGAAGGGATTCAAGGAAACTGGTTAGTCGGACTTAAATCCTGAAGGTGGGAAATACAGTGCCTGCACTTGTTGGGGTGGGGATATTTGCTGTTTGGAAGGGCTAGTGAACTGTTTTATCTACATGCCTCTGGCAAGAGAGTGGGCGAGTGATAATGAAAGTGTTTCCTTTTTGGGTCACCCTACCTTGGTGGAAGACGGCTAGTGTGATAAAAAAAAAAATTAAAACCAATCCTGACACACAATATAATTAATCACCTTTATATTGAGGATAAAACAATATTTAGAACTATGAAACACAAAATGAGACCAAATTTGATTTTTTTATCATACTTAAAATTTATTAGTATCTGGGAATGCAAGGACATCTAAGAACCAAAGCCCACTGAATATGGATGCTTGATTGTAGTGTAAATATAAAAATTGAGCAAGAATTTGCATGGTGTTGCAGCATAACAAATTGTACAAGACTTAGAATGGTGTTGCAGCATAATATTCTCTCACCTGTTCTTTGTAATCTTCTTCTTCATCTGTATCACAGTCTGGCAGTGGATAAATATGGATCCCATTTTCCTCAATTTCATCCAGAACCTAGAAATTAAATACTAGATTTCAAAACTTCTCCATGGGGAAGTAGAGAAGAATCATTTCCCTGTAATCCATGCGTGTCACAAGAGGCAACTAAAATGCCAGGAAAAAGGAGCTAGTAACCCCTTCTCCTGTATAAATTAATGTAAAAAGAAAAATTTGTTTCTTCCTTTTCGAGTCACCCTGCCTTAGTGGGAGATGGCCAGTGTGTTAAAAAAAATCAAAACTGGCATAAAATCAAAGATAAAAAATAGCTCAACATTTGTCATCTGATAACATGGGGTAGAGTAACTTTCAAAAAAATAAAACAATATCTAAAATGTTGTTCCTGTTACAGTAATCTTAAACAAGAGAGAACTTATTTGTAATGAATAAGAAAACATAAGTAAACATAGGTCTTAGACAGGGATGTGTAATGTCACCATGGTTGTTTAACATACTTATAGATGAAGTTGTAAAAGAAGTAAATGCTAGGGTATTGGGGAGAGGGATGGGATTAAATTATGGGGAATCAAATACAAAATGGGAGTTGACACACATACCTTTTGCTTATGATACTGTGCTTTGGGGAATTCTAAAGAAAAGTTGCAAAGGTTAGTGGACAAGTTTGGGAGGGTGTGTAAAGGTAGAAAGTTAAAAGTGAATATAGATAAGGGTAAGGTGATGAGGGTATCAAACAATTTAGATAAAGAAAAATTGGATATCACATTGGAAGGAAGGAGTATGGAAGAAGTGAATGTTTTCAGACATTTGGGAGTTGACTTGTCAGCAGATGGGTTTATGAAGGATGAGGTAAACCATAGAATTGATTAAGGAAAACAGGCGAGTGGCGAGTTGAGGTATCTGTGGAGACAAAGAAAGTTATCTATGGAGGCAAAGAAGGGAATGTACAAGAGTATAGTGGTATCAACATTCTTATATGGGTGTGAAGCATGGGTTGTAAATACTGCAGCGAGGAGGTGACTGGAGGCAATGGAGATGTCTTGTCTAAGGGCAACGTGTGGTGCAAATATTATGCAGAGAATTCATAGAGTGGAAATTAGGAGGAGGTGTGGAGTTACTAAAAGTATTAGTAAGAGGGCTGAAGAGGGGGCTGTTGAGGTGGTTTGGTCATTTAGAGAGAATGGAACAAATTAGAATAACTTGGAGAGCATATAAATCTATTGGGAAGGAAAGTGGGGTAGGGGTCATCCCTGAAAAGGTTGGAGGGAGGGGGTAAAGGAGGTTTTGTGGGAGAGGGGCTTGGACTTCCAAGCCCCTCACCTGAGGGGCTGTTGGAGTGTGAGCAGGGTAATATTTTGTGAAGGGATTCAAGGAAACCGGTCAGCTGGACTAGAGTCCTGGAAATGGGAGGTACAATGCCTGCACTTCAAAGCAGGGTTTTAGGACATTGGTAGTTTGGAGGGACGTCTAAAACGTTGTATCCGAGTGCTTCTGCAAAGACAGCGATTATGTACGAGTGATGAAGTTTTTTCTTACTTTTTGGGTCATCCTGCATTGGTGGGAAACGGCTGAAGTGTCTCAAAAAATCATTCATTTTTCATAAAGTACTGGTGAAGTTTAAGCTTGGCCATAATAGCAAGAAGCTCAGGAAAGATCATAGTTATAACTGCCCACCATGACTATGGTCAAGCACATTGATGTCTATAACCATACACTAAGGAATAATAAACTTATGTGATAATATGCATATATTTATAACTAAGTACTTTAAAAATATAATACAGTTCTATTTATAAAACAAACATTCTATTTTATCTTCAGAGTCATTATAAAAGCAGTACTTATTTAACAGGTACTGTACAGCATTAACCACTCACACAAGAAAATTAACTTTGCGATAAGATAAACTACTGTATTCTTAATTAAAGCACTCGCATAAGAAAACCTATCTTTGTAATTGACAAAAGTACCATAAAGTATTCTTGAACTTGCATAACAAACTCACCTTTCGTTTGAGCTTGGCTACCTCTTGCTTGGTAAGTGTGTCAGCCTTGGCAAGGACAGGAACAATATTCACCTTGTTGTGTAACTGTTTCATAAACTGAATATCTAGTGGCTTCAGTCTGACGATAAAATACATTCACTGGTATTATGAAGAGTCACATTTTTATATAATGTATTGCACACATAATTCACTTAGATGAGACAGGAGAAATATAATGTATTGCACTTAGATGAGACAGGAGAAATATAATGTATTGCACTTAGATGAGACAGGAGAAATATAATGTATTGCACTTAGATGAGACAGGAGAAATATAATGTATTGCACTTAGATGAGACAGGAGAAATATAATGTATTGCACTTAGATGAGACAGGAGAAATATAATGTATTGCACTTAGATGAGACAGGAGAAATATAGCTCTTGATGAAGCAGTAAAATTATCCATGCTGATGATATATATATATTTTTTTTTCCAACAAGTATATCTCTTAATTAAATAAAAGACATAAATGTTCAGATGACACAGAAGAAATATAACTCATGATGAAACAAAAACTATTTCTATTGATGGAACAGAAATGTTACTCATTATGAAATGTAAGATACATTCCTCTTAATAAAATGGTACCTTTTTATTTTTATATTTTATGGGTGCACATTTATAGTTTATGGCTACATTAATTTATAAAATTTTGTAAGTATATTAAGTATTATACATGAAAGTTTAGTGGTGCACATGTATGAATGGAGAATCCAGATTACATTTAAATACATACCCAGTAGTTTTTTTTTCCAACAGCCATAGTTCTCAGATCAAGAATTTTATTTAAATATTGCCACAGAAGGAATTTGTTTTCAGGGTATGCCACAATTAATGGGTTAACCCTTAAACTGTGCAAACGTAGATCTATGTTTGCTCATGTAGCGCTCCGAATGTAGATCTACGTTTTTTCATTGTTTCTTATGGAGAAAATGAAGGTCGGAGCACTACGCGCGCAAACATAGATCTACGTTTGGACAGTTTAAGAGTTAAATGACCTTCAGAATTACAAATTCCTTACCCTTTCTTCAGAGTGTAGGCATACAGAGGTCCCTCAATAATCGTCCGGCCTGATAGTCGTCCATTTCGGAAATCGTCGCGCTATTTCGTCTAAACATTGGCTCGCAAATAGTCCGTTAACTCTCTAATCGTCTTTCGTACTGGATGCGTACTCACGGCTCTGAGCGCCCCAGCCTCCCTTCCCAGCCAGTGTGCCATTGTTTACCAGTGAGCGACGGTCCCCTCATGTGTTCATACGAAATATTTCATAATCCATTCATTTTAGTGCTTGCAAGTGCTAAATAAGCTACCATGGCTCCAAAGAAAGCTCCTAGTGCCAAGCCTTTAGTAAAGAAGGTGAGAAATATGATTGAATTTAAGAAAAACATCAATGAACAATATGAAAGTGGCGTACGTGTGGGCGAACTGGCCAGGATGTATAACAAATCCCGTACAACCATATCTTCCATCATAGCCAAGAAAAAGAAAATCACGGATGCTGTTGTTGCAAAGGGGGTAAATATGCTGACAAAAATGAGATCACCAGAAACTTGAAGATTTTTGAGAAGTATTAGTGGTGTGGATAAACGAGAAACAATTAGCAGGAGATAGTCTTATGACGTCGATTATTTGTGAAAAGCCTAGCAGTTGCATGACGATTTGGTAAAGAAATTGCCTGCAACTAGTGGTGACGTGAGTGAATTTAAGGCCAGAAAAGGGCTGGTTTGAGAGATTTAAGAAGCGTACTGGCATACACAGTGTGATAAGGCATGGTGAGCTGCCAGTTCGGACCAAAAAGCGGCTGAAAAATATGTGCAGGAATTCAAGGAGTACATAGAGGCTGAAGGACTGAAACCTGAACAAGTGTTCAGTTGTGATAAAAACAGGCCTCTTTTGGAAGAAAATGGGCCCAAAAAGGACCTACATTACACAGAAAAGGCACTGCCAGGACCCCAAGCCTATGAAAGACAGGCTGACGCTCATGTTCTGTGCTAATCTATGGGGATTTCAAAGTGAAGCCATTACTAGTGTACCATCTGAAAATCCCAGAGTGTTCAAGAAAAACAATGTTATGAAGAGTAAATAGTGTGTGTTTTGGAGATCTAATAATAAGGCATGGGTCACGAGGGAAAATTTTCATTGAGTGGTTCAATGAAGGTTGGCCCTAGTGGGGAAGAATTACCTCCTGGAAAAGAAATTGGATCTCAAGTGCCTCCTAGTAATGGACAATGCACCTGCTCATCCTCCAAACTTGGATGACCTAATTCTGAAGGAGTTTGGGTTAATCACAGTAAAGTTCTTGCCCCCCAAATACCACTCCTCTCCTCCAGCCCATGGACCAGCAGGTTATTTCAAACATTTCAAACAGTAAAGTTCTTGCCCCCCAAATACCACTCCTCTCCTCCAGCCCATGGACCAGCAGGTCATTTCAAACTTTAAAGCAATGTTTGAAAGGTGCTTTAATGTGACCTCAAACACTCACTTGACCCTAACAGATTTTTGGAAAGAACACTTCAGTATTCTCGATTGCATAAGCCTTATAGGTAAGGCTTGGGAGGGAGTGGCTACCAGGACTTTGAACTCTGCTTGGAGAAACTTGTGGCCAGATTGTGTCCACAAGAGGGATTTTGAAGGGTATGAGGCAGCCTCTGATGAGCCTATGTCAATTGTGAACTCTATTGTGGCACTGGGGAGTTCCATGGTGTTGGATGTGAGTTTGGAGGATGTGGAAGAGTTGGTGGAGGACCACAACGAAGAGCTAACCACTGAGGAGCTGCAAGAGCTTCAGCAGGAACAGCAACAGATCGCAGCTCAAATCTTGCTGCAGAGGAGGAGGGGGGAGAGATGGAAGAAGGGGCCTTCAGAAATTAAGGAGATTTTTGAAATGGGGGGTAGGAGGGAAAGATTTAGGAGAAACATACCCTAAAAGGGATTTTCAAGCCATATAAACAATTTGTACATGACAAAGCTTGGCCCATTTTAGGGAAGTTTTAAAAAGACCCAAAACAAGCTCTCGGGACATTTTTTTGCGAGACAGGACTCCATGCCAAAGCTGGCCTGGGCTTTTAAGAAACAGAGAAAAATACCCCAGAAAAGCACGGGGTCCCCTGGGGTTGTTGAGGAAGGGTTTCCCCCTTTCCAAACAGAAATTTAAAATCTCCTCCTCCCCTCCTCCTCCATCTTCCATACACAAGAAGAATCGCCAAAAAAAGGTAAGTGTTTTGCTTTAATGTTTCATTCATCATGTCCCATTGTATTGTTTATGTATACATTCTAAAAAAAAAAATTTTTTTTTTAATATTTTCGGGGTCAGGAACGGTTTAATTTGTTTTTACTTTATTTCTTATGGGGAAAATTGATTCGAAAATAGTCCCATTTCCAGGAACGGGTTAAAGGACGATAATTGAGGGACCACTGTACTTCCTACCTCCAGGACTCAAGTTTAGCTAACCTAAATCCCCTCATAAATGTTACATTATTCACACAAACTCCACATCAAGCATTAAAAACCACTTGTTTCCATTCTCTGATCTAACATGCTCACATAAGCCCACTGCATGCTCAAGCCCTAATAGCACTGAAAACCTTAACCCACCCTCCCACCAATGCTTCCTGGGGCAACCCTCTATCCTTTCTTTCTTCCTTCCACCCGATTTACACCCTCTTCATTATCTTATCCTTCTTCATCTCTAAATGCCCAAACCACATCAACAACCCTTCCTCAGCAATCCCCATATTGCCTTCAAATTTTTATGCTCCAAATTCCCTGTACAGTATAATATTCATAAATGTTTCTCTCAAAAATGACATCTCTGCTGACTCAAGCTTTCTCCACAGTGTAATGTTTAAAGCCTACAAAAGCTCTGATACAACTACACTTCGAGACATTCCCTTTTTTTGCTTCTATAAAGTTGAAGATTGAGACACTTATGCAGCATATGGGAATGTGGAAAAAGACACTTATGTACAGTTCAGGACATTTATTAAAGGAAACGTTTCGCCACACAGTGGCTTCATCAGTCCAATCAGTTCAATCTTCAACTTGTCAGTTTTTCAAACCATTCATCACAACTGTCAGACACTGCAGCATCATGGAATCTTCTTACAAAGAATTCTTCAACGCTTGTTCAACCTTTGGACAAAGACCTACTTCGACTAGTGGATGGTACCACTATGATCCCGCCTCTGCCTGCTTCAAGTCACCTCACTACAGTATATAAGCCATGTCTACGGCCCTATGCTGTACATTCTACAAGATTGATGGACTGAACACATCGACTCCAGGCTGAGGGACTGATTACCTCATACTCCTCCTCTCCTTACGCCTTCCTCTTTGTATTGGACTGATGAAGCCACTGTGTGGCGAAACGTTTCCTTTAATAAATGTCCTGAACTGTACATAAGTGTCTTTTTCCACATTCCCATATGCTGCATAAGTGTCTCAATCTTCAACTTGTCGGTTTTTCAAACCATTCATTCTATAAAGTTCTTTCTTTCCACAGATGCCTCAACACACCAACCTTTTATTACCCCCTACCCCCCTTGTCTTTGGTTTGCCTCATCTTTTGAGGACCTATCTCCCAAGATGTCTACTCCCAAATATCCAAATGCCTTCACTTCCTCCATACTCCCAATCTCTAATCTGATATCTGCTCTTTCATTGCCTAGATATTTTGCTACAATCACCCTGTTCTTTTTTATGTTCACTTTTAATTTTCTTCTTTTTAAATCTCCTCCCAAATTTCCATATATAATATTACACAGTATAATGTTTAACACTGTGCTTATGTTATTCCCATATTTCCCCATAAACTGTGTATAACCAAACTGGAATACTCTTCTACTAACCCATGACAACCTGGAAAGACCTCATAGTATTTTCTAGCCTACTACAGTACACATACCCATGATTAGCAAGGATGAAGTGTACCAAACCCCAGCATATCACTATTAAATAAGTTACAGGGCACACATACCCGTGACCAGCAGGGTTGATGAAGTAGAAGCAACAGTGAACCCGATTATCTACAATGTGCCGACGATTTAGACCGGATTCATCTTGGAGATATCTTTCAAACTGCTCATTGATGTACTGAATAATCGACTGAAAACTGAAAGACAAATATTACTGAAGAGTTTAAACGCTTTATTAATGAATGTTTAAGCCCCCATTCATTAAGTGGTTGAAAATTCATGTCTATAAGTATCCATAGGTGAATCATAGAATTGATGAGGGAAAAAGAGTGAGTGGTGCACTTAGGAGTCTGTGGAGACAAAGAACTTTGTCCTTGGAGGCAAAGAGGGGAATGTATGAGAGTATAGTTTTACCAACGCTCTTATATGGGTGTGAAGCGTGGGTGATGAATGTTGCAGCGAGGAGAAGGCTGGAGGCAGTGGAGATGTCATGTCTGAGGGCAATGTGTGGTGTGAATATAATGCAGAGAATTCGTAGTTTGGAAGTTAGGAGAGGTGCGGGATTACCAAAACTGTTGTCCAGAGGGCTGAGGAAGGGTTGTTGAGGTGGTTCGGACATGTAGAGAGAATGGAGCGAAACAGAATGACTTCAAGAGTGTATCAGTCTGTAGTGGAAGGAAGGCGGGGTAGGGGTCGGCCTAGGAAGGGTTGGAGGGAGGGGTAAAGGAGGTTTTGTGTGCGAGGGGCTTGGACTTCCAGCAGGCATGCGTGAGCGTGTTTGATAGGAGTGAATGGAGACAAATGGTTTTTAATACTTGACGTGCTGTTGGAGTGTGAGCAAAGTAACATTTATGAAGGGATTCAGGGAAACCGGCAGGCCGGACTTGAGTTCTGGAGATGGGAAGTACAGTGCCTGCACTCTGAAGGAGGGGTGTTAATGTTGCAGTTTTAAAAAACTGTAGTGTAAAGCACCCTTCTGGCAAGACAGTGATGGAGTGAATGATGGTGAAAGTTTTTCTTTTTCGGGCCACCCTGCCTTGGTGGGAATCGGCCGGTGTGATAATAAAAAAAAAAAAAAAAAAAGTATCCAATAAAATGAAACATTTATCGTTTCCTGTTATATTACAAAATGCTGTCAATATAACTGCAGCTTGTTACATAAAGTCACCACTTTCTAGCAATGGTCAATAATTTCTACAAATACTTTTAGGTGTGTGTGATTCTTAAGACAACAGCAAAAGTTTGAGGATAAACAGAATACTGTACTAAAGATCCTTCTTGGAGCATTTAGAACATTAAAGGCTTCTGGAGAACCTATAAAAGTGCTAGGGGTGGGTAATGGGTGTTACGCTCTTCACTCATTATGATGCACCATAATATAATACTATCACACAAACAAAGACATGCTGATAAATGACAGATTAAAAAAGATAAATATATTATTATGCAGGCACAAAAGACACTCAAGTTCCTATTTCTACCAACTTGATACCAAATATGTATACATCTTGCCAGATACCCTGCTATGAATTATCACAGCATTTTTCCTTAAGTTGAGATAGGACTGATTTAACCAAATACACAGCAGAAGCCAGCTGAGAGCGAGGGGACTAAAGGTAGTCAGAGTGACTTAGTGATCTGCATTATATCCTTCATTGTAAGTGATTAAGAATATCAGTAAGATAGTATAGGGCCCTGGCTTTTGTTACCCTATGTGCCTTTGAAATTTTCATGTCTAGAAGGGTTGCAGAAATTGCTGGTAATGCTTGACTGGAGAACAAGCATTGTCTTGACAGGACTATCTTGTGTCTGATAGCCAGTCGGGTAATATAATGGCAAAGTGTACCAACAGCATTTAAATAACATGCACAATGCAGGTTATGGCATTTTATTGTGGAGACATTTTGTTCACCAGGAACTTTATCAATTCAAATGGAGAACAAGTTGTGAAGTCACCTATGAGTAGCCAACTGAGTGAGATTAGGTAATGAGGAATTAAACACACAGGTATACAATACTGACTAATAAAGGTATACAAGTTAAGTGATTGCAGTATTAGGTCTTGGGAGAATAAGTCAGTAATAATAATGTTGCTAGAATTACCAACAATATATTAGGTAAAAGGACACATATTCAACTAATAAGATACTGTATCCTCCTGTATCAATATTTCTCTCTCCAGTGAAATGCTGATGCAAATAGTTGTACATATGTCCTTTTACCTAACAATAAGTCAGTAGCCTTCTGCAATGTTCCTCCATTCTCGAGTTCTTATATGAACATCTGGTACAGGCAAAGATTTATACCTTAGAATAAGTTGAATAACTGATGATTTTCATCACAGGGGGTTCTGTTGATGGGTGAAGAAAATTATGGGGAGGAGGGCTTTGGGGGAGTTGAAGGAAATTATTGGAGACAAACCCCACAAGCTTCCCCTTGGTGCTGCCACTACTACTAATGTGTGTGATCCTACTCTTTAAATAATGGCCTCAAGAAGACGTTTACCTCGGCACAAACACCAGATTGACTGGGGATGTTAGTGTAAAATGTTTTCATATTGGTACAAATATGACTGTGGAATGTAATGATCACTGGCTGATATAATACACAAATCTACAGAAATAGAATGAATTGGGTATTGAATATTTCAGCCTTCAACTGAGGTCCTCTTCAGCAGATGACTGCATCAGTTAGATGCAGAAATACAAAGCTCCCACTTCACCCTGTATTTCATTTTACTATGTCAGTTTTTGTAGTAGTATATACAGTGGACCCCCGCATAGCGAACGCCTTGCATAGCGAACATTCCGCATAGCGAACGCTTTGTCCGCTAAAATTTTGCCCCGCATAGTAGACAAAAACCCGCTCAGCGAACTTCGTTCGAGACGCGTCCAATGTGGGCCCTCAGCCAGCCTCACATGTGCCGCCCGTCCCATTGTTTACCAGCTAGCCTCCGCGGTAACATTCAAGCATACACTCGGAATATTTCGTATTATTACAGTGTTTTCGGTGCTGTTTGTGGAAAATAAGTGACCATGGGCCCCAAGAAAGCTTCTAGTGCCAACCCTACACCTCAAAGGTAAGAATACCCATTGAAATTAAGAAGAAATCATTGATAAGTATGAAAGTGGAGTACGTATCACCGACCTGGTCAGGTTGTACAAGAAACCAAAATCAACCATCGCTTCTATTGTGGGCAAGAAAACGGCAATCAAGGAAGCTGTTGTTGCCAAAGGTTTAACTGTGTTTTCAAAACAAAGATCGCAAGTGATGGAAGATGTTGAGAGACTCTTATTGGTGTGGATAAATGAAAAACAGCTAGCAGGAGATAGCGTCTCTCAAGCGATCATATGTGAAAAGGCTAGGAAGTTGCATGACGATTTAATTAAAAAAATGCCTGCAACTAGTGATGATGTGAGTGAATTTAAGGCCAGCAAAGGTTGGTTTGAGAGATTTAAGAAGCGTAGTGGCATCCATAGTGTGATACGGCATGGTGAGGCTGCCAGTTCGGACCTCAAAGCGGCTGAAAAATATGTGCATGAATTCAAGGAGTACATAGAAACTGAAGGACTGGAACCTGAACAAGTGTTTAATTGTGATGAAACAGGCCTGTTCTGGAAGAAAATGCCAAGCAGGACCTACATTACTCAGGAGGAAAAGGCACTCCCAGGACATAAGCCTATGAAAGACAGGCTTACTCTTCTCATGTGTGCCAATGCTACTGGTGATTGCAAAGTTAAGCCTTTATAGTGTATCACTCTGAAACTCCCAGAGCGTTCAGGCAAAAGAATGTCCTCAAGGATAATTTGTGTGTGCTGTGGAGGGCAAACAGTAAGGCATGGGTCACTAGGGAATTTTTCTATAACTGGTTACACCATGCATTTGCCCCCAATGTGAAAGATTACCTAACTGAAAAGAAATTAGACCTTAAGTGCCTCCTGGTGTTAGACAATGCCCCTGGTCATCCTACAGACGTGGCAGAGCGACTTTATGGGGACATGAGCTTCATTAAGGTGAAGTTTTTGCCTCCTAATACCACTCCTCTCCTGCAGCCCATGGACCAGCAGGTCATTTCCAACTTCAAGAAACTGTACACAAAAGCTCTGTTTCAAAAGTGCTTTGAAGTGACCACAGACACTGGATTGACTCTAAAAGAGTTTTGGAAGGATCACTTTAATATCCTCAGTTGTGTAAACCTTATAGGTAAGGCTTGGGAGGGGGTGACTAAGAGAACCTTGAACTCTGCTTGGAAGAAACTGTGGCCAGAATGTGTAGACAAAAGGGATTTTGAAGGGTTTGAGGCTAACCCTGAGAGGAGTAGTATACCAGTTGAGGAATCAATTGTGGAATTGGGGAAGTCCTTGGGGTTGGAGGTTAGTGGGGAGGATGTGGAAGAGTTGGTGGAGGAGGACAATGAAGAACTAACCACTGATGAGCTGATAGATCAACTTCAAGAGCAAGAGGCCAGACCTGGGGAAACTGGTTCAGAGGAGGGAGAGAGAAATTGAAGGAATTGCCTACTTCAAAGATTAAGGAAAATGTGTGCAAAATGGCTTGAAGTGCAAAACTTTTTTGATGAAAATCACCCTCACACAGCTATTGCAAGCCGTGCTGGTGACTATTACAATGACACTGTTGTGAAACACTTTAGGAAAGTCATAAAGGAACGAGAGGTACAGGCCACTATGGACAGATATGTTGTGCGAAAGAAGTCCAGTGACTCTGAAGCTGGTCCTAGTGGCATTAAAAGAAGAAGGGAAGTAACCCCAGAAAAGGACTTGCTACCTCAAGTCCTAATGGAAGGGGATTCCCCTTCTAAACACTAACACTCTCTCTCCCCTCCTCCCATCCCATCAATCATCACCAGATCTTCAATAAAAGTAAGTGTCATGTAATTGTGCATGCCTTTTTCAGTTTGTGTGTACTAAAATTAACATTTTTTTGTGGTAAAAAAATTTTTTTTCATACTTTTGGGTGTCTTGCACGGATTAATTTTATTTCCATTATTTCTTATGGGGAAAATTAATTCGCATAGCGAACATTTCGCATAACGACCAGCCCTCTTGCACGGATTAAGTTCGCTATGCGGGGGTCCACTGTACTGAAACAACACTAATTTATGAATAATGATTATTCATACGTATATGGTTGAAAGTGTATAAACTAAGGGAGGAGGAAGTTCGGGTGAGATATAAGCGACTATTGGCAGAAAGGTGGGCTAGTGCAAAGTTGAGTAGTGGGGGGTTGAAGAGGGTTGGAATAGTTTTAAAAATGAAGTATTAGAATGTGGGGCAGAAGCTTGTGGTTATAGGAGGGTGGGGGCAGGAGGAAAGAGGGGTGATTGGTGGAATGATGAAGTAAAGGGTGTGATAAAAGAGAAAAAGTTAGCTTATGAGAGGTTTTTACAAAGCAGAAGTGTTACAAGAAGAGCAGAGTATATGGAGAGTAAAAGAAAGGTGAAGAGAGTGGTGAGAGAGTGCAAAAGGAGAGCAGATGATAGAGTGGGAGAGGCACTGTCAAGAAATTTTAATGAAAATAAGAAAAAAATTTAGAGCGAGTTAAACAAGTTAAGAAAGCCTAGGGAAAGTATGAATTTGTCAGTTAAAAACAGAGTTGGGGAGTTAGTAGATGGGGAGAGGGAGGTATTAGGTAGATGGCAAGAATATTTTGAGGAACTTTTAAATGTCGAGGAAGAAAGGGAGGCGGTAATTTCATGCACTGGCCAGGGAGGTATACCATCTTTTAGGAGTGAAGAAGAGCAGAATGTAAGTGTGGTGGAGGTACACGAGGCATTACGTAGAATGAAACGGGGTAAAGCAGCTGGAACTGATAGGATCATGACAGAAATGTTAAAAGCAGGGGGGGGATATAGTGTTGGAGCGGTTGGTACTTTTGTTTAATAAATGTATGAAAGAGGGGAAGGTACCTAGGGATTGGCGGAGAGCATGTATAGTCCCTTTATATAAAGGGAAAGGGGACAAAAGAGATTGTAAAAATTATAGAGGAATGAGTTTACTGAGTATACCAGGAAAAGTATACGGTAGGGTTATAATCGAAAGAATTAGAGGTAAGACAGAATGTAGGATTGCGGATGAGCAGGGAGGCTTCAGAGCCGGTAGGGGATGTGTAGATCAAGTGTTTACGTTGAAGCATATATGTGAACAGTATTTAGATAAAGGTAGGGAAGTTTTTATTGCATTTATGAATTTAGAAAAGGCATATGATAGAGTGGATAGAGGAGCAATGTGGCAGATGTTACAAGTATATGGAATAGGTGGTAAGTTACTAAATGCTGTTAAGAGTTTTTATGAGGATAGTGAGGCTCAGGTTAGGGTGTGCAGAAGAGAGGGAGAATACTTCCCGGTAAAAGTAGGTCTTAGACAGGGATGTGTAATGTCACCATGGTTGTTTAATATATTTATAGATGGGTTGTAAAAGAAGTAAATGCTAGGGTGTTTGGGAGAGGGGTGGGATTAAATTATGGGGAATCAAATTCAAAATGGGAATTGACACAGTTACTTTTTGCTGATGATACTGTGCTTACGGGAGATTCTAAAGAAAAATTGCAAAGGTTAGTGGATGAGTTTGGGAATGTGTGTAAAGGTAGAAAGTTGAAAGTGAACATAGAAAAGAGTAAGGTGATGAGGGTATCAAATGATTTAGATAAAGAAAAATTGGATATCAAATTGGGGAGGAGGAGTATGGAAGAAGTGAATGTTTTCAGATACTTGGGAGTTGACGTGTCGGCGGATGGATTTATGAAGGATGAGGTTAATCATAGAATTGATGAGGGAAAAAAGGTGAGTGGTGCGTTGAGGTATATGTGGAATCAAAAAACGTTATCTATGGAGGCAAAGAAGGGAATGTATGAAAGTATAGTAGTACAAACGCTCTTATATGGATGTGAAGCTTGGGTGGTAAATGCAGCAGCGAGGAGACGGTTGGAGGCAGTGGAGATGTCCTGTCAAAGGGCAATGTGTGGTGTAAATATTATGCAGAAAATTCGGAGTGTGGAAATTAGGAGGTGTGGAGTTAATAAAAGCATTAGTCAGAGGGCAGAAGAGGGGTTGTTGAGGTGGTTTGGTCATTTAGAGAGAATGGGTCAAAGTAGAATGACATGGAAAGCATATAAATCTACAGGGGAAGGAAGGAGGGGTAGGGGTCGTCCTCAAAAGGGTTGGAAAGAGGGGGTAAAGGAGGTTTTGTGGGCGAGGGGCTTGGACTTCCAGCAAGCGTGCGTGAGCGTGTTAGTTAGGAGTGAATGGAGACGAATGATACTTGGGATCTGACGATCTGTTGGAGTGTGAGCAGGATAATATTTACTTAAGGGATTCAAGGAAACCGGTTATTTTCATATAGTCGGACTTGAGTCCTGGAAATGGGAAGTACAATGCCTGCACTTTAAAGGAGGGGTTTGGGATATTGGCAGTTTGGAGGGATATGTTGTGTATCTTTATACGTATATGCTTCTAAACTGTTGTATTCTGAGCACCTCTGCAAAAACAGTGATAATGTGTGAGTGTGGTGAAAGTGTTGAATGATGATGAAAGTATTTTCTTTTTGGGGATTTTTTCTTTTTTGGGTCACCCTGCCTCGGTGGGAGACGGCCGACTTGTTGAAAAAGAAAAAAAAAATATGGTTGAGTACTCACCAGTCTGTGTTGTCAATAGCATCCCCATAGCCTGGAGTGTCAACTACTGTGAGTCTAACTTTCACACCTCGTTCTTCAATCTCAACCGTTGACACATCAATCTTGACAGTTTTGTCAATATTCTCTGTTTTATATAGGAAGGAAAAAATAAGATGTTACCTCACATTTTACACAATATACTTATTTATTTTTAAAACTCGACAAAACTACTTTTCAAAACATGCAAGTTCCTAAGAGTCTCTCTCCCAACACCTAAGCCAAGTTCACAACATTTTAACCCCTTGACCGTCACAACCCCAAACCCTGAGGTGTCTCCTGGTGTCGCAAAATTTCCAAAAAAAAAAAAAAAAAAAAAAAAAAAAAAAAAAAAAAAAAAAAATATTTTTTCTTATGAAATGATAGACAATATTTTCCAGATTGTAATGACACCAAAAGAATGAAATTTGATGGAAAACTGACGGAATTACGCTCTCGCAAAGTTAGCGACCTCGGCGATATTTACAAATCGGCGATTTTGCCCACTTTGAGCCCTATTTTCGTCTAATTCCATTGTTCCAGTCGACCAAACTGATAGCTATTTCTTTAGAACTCCATTTTTTCTATCGCCTGAGTACAAGAAACTGCCATTTATCGATTTCAACTACCCAATAACGCAGTCAGAAATTTGCAATTTGGCCAATTTCACGAAAATTAAAAAATATGACAATTTCAAAATAGGGTCCAGAATAAACAATTCAGACATTCCTGGCTCTAAAATAACATTTTCTTTGTACATCAGTCACCTCTCCAGGGCCCTCTGATATTACTCTGTTTTCTATTTTGAATTTTTTTCAAACAAAAAATAGAATATTTACTGTTATGCAGACTACTGCAATATTGTAATAATTGTGTAAATAATGTCAACCCATTCATGACTGCATATCAGAATGGCTACTTGGACATTTATTGGAAAATGACATCATTTATTTACTTTTGAACATCGGCAAAAATCAAATTTTTCCCCTACTTGGAGCTCCATTTCAAGGTTCTTTTCATAGTAAAACCAATCAAAATCACCTCTATTTCTATAATATGTTTTCCATTCTATCAAATGAGACCAAGAAAATGAGAATACAACCATAAATACTACATGAAAATAGACCACAAAAATCGGCATTTTAATGAAAAAAAAAAAAAAGGTCGGAGTTTTTTTTTTTCTCATCATGCACTGCGTGCTGCAGGATTTTTTATATGGTGTACACTGACCACACAGACCCATTCTCTTACATGTGGGCCTACCAGCTTTCTCCTCCTTGATTTGAAGCCACTAGAATTTATGAGTACATATACGTCAAAAACGGTGGCTCGTAAGATGTATATATACGACCAAAACAGTCAAAGGGTTAAACTATGTACGTATAACATACCTAGGAGACAAAATACATTGGAAATCTTAATGGAACAGAGTAGGATATAACAAATCAAGAGTTATGAGCAGAGGAGTGGGGAATTCTCAAGAATGTGCAATCTGAAGATAAATCTTATAATATGAATGATAATGTTAGAGTAAGATGCAGAGTACCAGAGTACAAATGTTTGTAACTTGTCAGTGAGGATTCTGTGCTACAATGGAACAGTGATGTTCCATGAATATATGAAAAGAAACTGATAAAGAAAAAGTATGAAATAAAATTGGACGAGATAAAGACTAAAAAACAGGCAGGCAGATATGGTTTATGAGTGCAAAGGAGAAAGTGCAATGCACATAAATAATGCATATGAAGTTATGCAATTAATAAGAGTGAGTGGAAGCAATTTGTTAAAAGGTTATTAACAAGCAACAAGTTGGCAATGTTACAGAATTTGACACCAGTTCTATGAAAAAGATTACTGTTGTAGTTATTCTTAGTGTGACAGTGGCTAGTGTTCATTGATGATACTGTACCATGTTTGGAAGGCATTATATAGTATTATGAAAAGTCAAATATTATTTGATGTTTTGAGCTATCTTCAATTTGAGAGACAATCCTGTCCTTGTGAATGTCTGCTCATCCCATCAAAGATGAAAATGAGGTAATAAGAAAATTATGATAATGGATATGTTGTGTATCTTTATATGTGTATGCTTCTAGACTGTTGTATTCTGAGCACCTCTGCAAAAACAGTGATAATGTGCGAGTGTGGTGAAAGTGTTGAATGATGATGAAAGTATTTTCTTTTTGGGGATTTTCTTTCTTTTTTGGGTCACCCTGCCTCGGTGGGAGACGGCCGACTTGTTGAGAGAAAAAAAAAAAAAAAAAAAAACATATATATAAAGAACCAGATTATGATAACCTACATTACAACAGTCTATTGGTGCCACCACCCATTGGTACAGGAGGCTATGAAGTAAACTGAGTGAGGTGTTGCAGCAAAGGTACATTATCACTATAACAAATTTCACTTTATTATCTGTAGACAATTTTAAACAGGGGTGTTAATGTTGCAGTTTAAAAACTGTAGTGTAAAGCACCCTTCTGGCAAGACAGTGATGGAGTAAATGATGGTGAAAGTTTTTCTTTTTCGGGCCACCCTGCCTTGGTGGGAATCGGCCAGTGTGATAAAAAAAAAAAATTTAAATAGACCGGTAAACACTGGCAACACACTGTCTTTACCCACAATTATAAGTAGGGGTAAAAAGATGTTTTAAACACATAAGTGAGCTAGTATACAAGTAAAACTCACCTTGAGCAGATGACAAAACTCTGTCTGGATAGAGATCAGTGAGGAAGAGGGTATTAATCAGCGTTGATTTACCTAACCCACTTTCACCTATTCAGGGGAAAACAAAATTAAATGACAGATTTTTCTTCTAATTTTATAATCTCAGAAACAATGAAAATCAATACTGATTTCCAAAACAAGGCAAATAATATGATTAGCATGGTGACTAAGCCACATTTTATGATCTTTGGTTGTATTCTGAAGCCTTCAATAAATTACTGTAGTTGAATTTTGCAAAAAAAATAAAATCTTTGGCAATAACTTCAGTGTGGACAAGCGATCCCAGTACAAAAAAATGTAAGAACAAATTTTGAACCGTCTCACTACTCTAGGACAGAGTAAAAATACATATTTAATGCAGCTTTTAACAATTAACAATAATGATATACTGTACATATATGTACATCAATGAGAGAGTTAACAAGCTGCAATTAGTCAGCAAGATGTCTGTAATTTTCTTAATAGCCAATACTATCTTTATAATCAGATGAAACGACTCACCTACAACCATTAAAGTGAACTCAAAGCCTCTCTTCACAGATTTACGGTGAATCTGATTTGGAAGATTGGCAAATCCAACATATCCTGGCATGTCTGGATTACTGAACTGCAAATTAAATGAAAAATTAAGTTTAACACAAAATTTTACAAACTAGGTAACTGATATTTTAGACTAAAAACCTCAATACTGTAACAAAGTTGTAACACTAACAAATTTAATTATGGTTAAGTATTCAGTAATAATAAATAATATATAATGTAATATTGTAACATAAAATACAAAATATACAGTATCTGTTGAAATTCACTGCTGTGACCCAACAAGGTCACCACTACCCACTGTGACCCAGCAAGGTCACCACTACCCACTGTGACCCAGCAAGGTCACCACTACCCACTGTGACCCAGCAAGGTCACCACTACCCACTGTGACCCAGCAAGGTCACCACTACCCACTGTGACCCAACAAGGTCACCACTACCCACTGTGACCCAGCAAGGTCACCACTACCCACTGTGACCCAACAAGGTCACCACTACCCACTGTGACCCAACAAGGTCACCACTACCCACTGTGACCCAACAAGGTCACCACTACCCACTGTGACCCACAAGGTCACCACTACCCACTGTGACCCAACAAGGTCACCACTACCCACTGTGACCCAACAAGGTCACCACTACCCACTGTGACCCAACAAGGTCACCACTACCCACTGTGACCCAACAAGGTCACCACTACCCACTCCTCGTACCGTATCAGTAGACATAACGTAACTCCCAAGAAGTGACCACTGAATCTAGTACAATAGATGTACTAGCTGGCCCTGGGTGGCACCTAGCACACGACAGATGTACTAGCTGGCCCTGGGTGGCACCTAGCACACGACAGATGTACTAGCTGGCCCTGGGTGGCACCTAGCACACGACAGATGTACTAGCTGGCCCTGGGTGGCACCTAGCACACGACAGATGTACTAGCTGGCCCTGGGTGGCACCTAGCACACGACAGATGTACTAGCTGGCCCTGGGTGGCACCTAGCACACGACAGATGTACTAGCTGGCCCTGGGTGGCACCTAGCACACGACAGATGTACTAGCTGGCCCTGGGTGGCACCTAGCACACGACAGATGTACTAGCTGGCCCTGGGTAGCACCTAGCACACGACAGATGTACTAGCTGGCCCTGGGTGGCACCTAGCACACGACAGATGTACTAGCTGGCCCTGGGTAGCACCTAGCACACGACAGATGTACTAGCTGGCCCTGGGTGGCACCTAGCACACGACAGATGTACTAGCTGGCCCTGGGTGGCACCTAGCACACGACAGTGTGCTAGCTGGCCCTGGTGGCACCTAGCACACTGACAGATGTACTGCTGGTCCCTAGTTGGTACATTTGCACAAACGGACATCATGTACTAGCTGCCTGAGTGCACCTTAGCACACGACAAGTATTAATCCTGGCCTGGGTAGCACTGCACACACAGATGTACTAGCATGCCCTGGGTAGACCGTAGCACACGACAGATGTACTAATTGGCACTGGGTAGCACCTAGCACAGACAGATGTATAGCTGGTCTCTGGGGTAGACCTAGATCACGAAGTGGGCCCTGTGGTAGCTGCTTACTGCACTAGTAGCACAGGGTGTGTAGCGTCAGATGATTCCCCCCTAAGTTGGTCTCATTTGTGACAACGGAGCACTCCAGTTCCTCCATCTCAAATTAGGAACTAACAAATATTTAATCACTTTCAGCGTGATAGCTGCAATTTTCACTTGTGGTGAACATGACTGGTGACTGCAGTGTGTTCCTCGCTGCCATCTTATTGTAAACTGGGGTGTGTGTAAGAGATCCCTTTGCAGTATGGGTTCCATTTGTGTGGAGTGCTATCGCCATCGAGTTAGAGGGAGGGTGTGGCAGCTGCCTTCCCCTCCCTCCCTCCCACCTCCATGTTCACCACAGGGAGGGTGTGGCAGCTGCCTTCCCCTCCCTCCCACCTCCATGTTCACCACAGGGAGGGTGTGGCAGCTGCCTTCCCCTCCCTCCCACCTCCATGTTCACCACAGGGAGGGTGTGGCAGCTGCCTTCCCCTCCCTCCCACCTCCATGTTCACCACAGGGAGGGTGTGGCAGCTGCCTTCCCCTCCCTCCCACCTCCATGTTCACCACAGGGAGGGTGTGGCAGCTGCCTTCCCCGCCCTCCTTCCAACCTCCATGTTCGCCACATGGAGTGTTAGTGGGAGGGTGTGGCAGCTGCCTTCCCCGCCCTCCTTCCAACTTCCATGTTCGCCACATGGAGTGTTAGTGGGAGGGTGTGGCAACTGTCTTCCCCTCCCTCCTTCCAACTTCCATGTTCGCCACATGGAGTGTTAGTGGGAGGGTGTGGCAGCTGTCTTCCCCTCCCTCCTTCCACCTCCATGTTCGCACATGGGAGTTTTAGTGGGAGGGTGTGGCAAGCTGCCTTCCCTCCCTCCTTCCAACCTTCCATGTTCGCCACAGGGAGTGTTAGTGGGAGGGTGGGCAGCTGTTTCCCCTCCCTCTTCCAACCTCCATGTTCGCACACATGGAGTGTAGTGGAGGGTGTGGCAGCTGTCTTCCCCTCCCCTTCCAATCTCCATGTTCGCCACATGGAGTGTTAGTGGGAGGGTGTGGCAACTGTCTTCCCCTCCCTCCTTCCAACTTCCATGTTCGCCACATGGAGTGTTAGTGGGAGGGTGTGGCAGCTGTCTTCCCCTCCCTCCTTCCAACCTCCATGTTCGCCACATGGAGTGTTAGTGGGAGGGTGTGGCAGCTGTCTTCCCTCTTTCCAACCTCCATGTTCGCCACATGGAGTGTTAGTGGAGGGTGTGGTAGCGTCCTTCCCCTCCCTCCCTCCCACCTCCATGTTCACCACATGGAGTGTTAGTGGAGGGTATGGTAGCTGCCTTCCCCTCCCTCCTTCCCACCTCCATGTTCACTGTCTGGAGTGTTAGTTGGAGGGTGTGGCAGCTGCCTTCCCCTCCCTCCCATCTCCATGTTCCCACATGGAGTGTTAGTGGGAGGGGAGGCAGCTGTCCCACCCTCCAACCTTCACATGTTCCAACTGCTGTTCACCTGAGTGAGTGCTGGGGCTCACTCTCCCTCCACCTCATGTTCCGAGTTTAGTGGTAATATGTTTATTAGCACCTATACCCATACTTGTTGGGCGGTAGTCAAAGCTATTCCAACAGGTTACAAATGGTGTCCAGGGATGGATCCAAAGTTTGTACTGGTCAATTTACAAACGGTAATGAACTAGGCATCTGGTCACAATCAGTGACCAAGTAAAGTAATGAGCTACCCATGTAGAGTTAGGTCAACTCATGACTAAAGTACAAAGGTAACTGAATAGATACTGGGTTACGAATAATGAGAACCAAGACAAAGGTAAGAGCTCCAGGTAGAGCTATTACAATCATGACAATTTCAAAGGTAAAGAATCGTGTATGAACACATGATTACAGTCATGAACAATTTACAGTTAGTAAGATCAGATTAACAAAAACAAAATCGTTAACAAACATTGTAGGGAATTCATCCATTGCTACCAGGTCGGTTGCCGTGTTCCTCCCTTAAGTCAGTGTGACCTGACCTGACTAGGTTGGGTGCATTGGCTTAAGCCGGTAGGAGACTTGGACTTGCCTCGCATGAGCCAGTAGGCCTGCTGCAGTGTTCCTTCGTTCTTATGTTCTTCTTATGTTCTTAACAGGCGTTGCTAGGTGCCTGTCCTTCCTCGGCAGGACAGCCAGACAGCCATTGCAAACAGCAGCAAGTTGCCCCGGGATCTGTTGTTTGCAGGAGCACCATCGACCCTCCCCAAGAGGTCGAAGAAGCCAGCGACTCCTCTAGCAGCCCAAGGGAGAGCCTCCCTGGAGACGCGTCAACGTCCTGGTGGACGCCAAGTTGATTGAAGATCCCAGGCCCTCTGTAAAGGTAAAGGCGCGACAGCTGTCACCTATGTCTGCTGGGAGGGGCTGTTGATTGTTGCCACGTGGAGCCCTCCGGGTGCCCAGACACCCACCGTGTGCACGTATGTTGAAGATGAATGGTTCAAAGAACCGACACGTTGTTAAATTAGACACATGTTCAACTCTTGGATATCTTTATTGATACCCAAGAGTTGCACATGTGCCTAATTTAACAACGTATGTTGAAGCTTGAGGAATTGAGTGCACACTACCTGTGGCACACCTGACAGCTGCCTTGCGGTCGAACTCCACGGTGCTGTTCCTGCAGTGCCATCGTTCTCGAGAAGCAACATAAGTCACAATACCTTGCCTGGCTGGCTACAACAATACCCTGCCTGGCTGGCTGCAAAAATACCCTGCCTGCCTAGTTGCAACAATACCCTGCCTGACTGGCTGCAACAATACCCTGCGGCTGGCTGCACCACTACCCTGCCTGCCTGGCTGCACCACTACCCTGCCTGCCTGGCTGCACCACTACCCTGCCTGTATGGCTGCAATAATACCCTGCCTGGCTGGCTGCAACAATACCCTGCCTGACTGGCTGCAACAATACCCTGCCTGACTGGCTGCAACAAGATCGATCCTCCGTCCCCCTAGCAGGAAACAAATCCTGCTCTAGCAGCTAGGTGTTATGTGACATTTAACTAGGTCCTTTTCTGTTGTGAGCTGAACACCGCACCAGTCAGCCACCTTAACAAACACATTATAAAACACGGAAACAATACTCATTCCTTATAAAGGAGTGTCTTGAAGCTGAAAGGCTCTTGATTCAAGGACTTTGATTCACCCTCCTCTTCCCTAGCTCAAACCATATTACCTCTCATTCTCCAGGCTTTGTATGACTCTTGTGAGTTTAGCGCTACCCATTATTATTATTATTATTATTATTATTATTAATTATTATTATTATTATATTAATATTATTATTATTATCATCATCATTTCATCAAACCAGCCATCTCCCACCGAGGTAAGGCGACCCCCCCCCCCAAAAAAAAAAGAAGAAACAGTTACGCCATCGTTCACACCATCACTGACTTGCTAGAGGGGCACTGATACTACAGTCTCAAACAACAAATATCCCCACCCATCCTTCAGAGTGCCAGCACTGTACTTGCCACCTCCAGGACTGTAACATCCTCACCATCCTTCAGAGTGCCAGCACTGTACTTGCCACCTCCAGGACTGTAACAACCTCACCATCCTTCAGAGTGCCAGCACTGTACTTGCCACCTCCAGGACTGTAACATCCCTCACCATCCTTCAGAGTGCCAGCACTGTACTTGCCACCTCCAGGACTGTAACAACCTCACCATCCTTCAGAGTGCCAGCACTGTACTTGCCACCTCCAGGACTCAACAACAACAATAATAATAAGTGAGGGTTGCAAGGGTACATACAATAATCAAGGTAAGAGAAGTAGATACAGAAGAGAGAATGTGAAGTCAGGTCTAGGTTAGAGTGTTGTATCATGTTACAGTGAAAAGTCTTCACGTTACAGTCACAAGTCTTCACGCTGAGTGAGTCAGTCAGGCCAGGGTACACTTTCATAACAAAATTAAACAAAAAATAACATTAAATATATATATAATGTTGAGAGCAGTCAGCATCCCAGGTTAACTTAGGTCAATATACATCTGTGTGTGACCCATACTTTTAGCGCTTAATTTGATTATATTATTACCCAGCTTTTTTGAGGATATAATAATAAGGTAAATAAACAACTTTTGAATATTGCTGTTATAAATCTTTACAATGTTTTTAAATACATTATTACAGACATACAAAATGATGCCGTGATACTGGTGATGGGCTCTTATTCCAAGAAACTGGAGCTATTCTCATCTTCCTTCTACCAAGCCTGATTACCTCTATTAACAGACGCACTATGATTCCTACGGGTTTAACGCTTCACTATGACTAAAACAAAATTCATAAATACCTGAAAAGTGCTACAAAAATTTTACTCTAGGAAAAATCATGGGCGTGCACCTTCCCTGGGCGTGCACCTTCCCTGGGCGTGCACCTTCCATGGGCGTGCACCTTCCCTGGGCGTGCACCTTCCCTGGGCGTGCACCTTCCATGGGCGTGCACCTTCCATGGGCGTGCACCTTCCCTGGGCGTGCACCTTCCATGGGCGTGCACCTTCCATGGGCGTGCACCTTCCCTGGGCGTGCACCTTCCCTGGGCGTGCACCTTCCCTGGGCGTGCACCTTCCATGGGCGTGCACCTTCCATGGGCGTGCACCTTCCCTGGGCGTGCACCTTCCATGGGCGTGCACCTTCCATGGGCGTGCACCTTCCATGGGCGTGCACCTTTCATGGGCGTGCACCTTCCCTGGGCGTGCACCTTCCATGGGCGTGCACCTTCCATGGGCGTGCACCTTCCCTGGGCGTGCACCTTCCCTGGGGGTGCACCTTCCATGGGCGTGCACCTTCCCTGGGCGTGCACCTTCCCTGGGCGTGCACCTTCCCTGGGCGTGCACCTTCCATGGGCGTGCACCTTCCATGGGCTGCAACCTTCCATGGGCGTGCACCTTCCATGGGCGTGCACCTTCCATGGGCGTGCACCTTCCCTGGGCGTGCACCTTCCCTGGACGTGCACCTTCCCTGGGCGTGCACCTTCCCTGGGCGTGCACCTTCCCTGGGCGTGCACCTTCCCTGGACGTGCACCTTCCCTGGGCGTGCACCTTCCATGGGCGTGCACCTTCCGTGGGCGTGCACCTTCCATGGGCGTGCACCTTCCATGGGCGTGCACCTTCCCTGGACGTGCACCTTCCATGGGCGTGCATCTTCCCTGGGCATGCACCTTCCATGGGCGCGCACCTTCCCTGGGCGTGCACCTTCCATGGACGCGCACCTTCCATGGGCGTGCACCTTCCCTGGACGTGCACCTTCCATGGGCGTGCATCTTCCCTGGGCTTTGCCCTTCCCTGGGCGCGCCCCTTTCCCCTGGGCGTGCACCTTCCATGGGCGTGCACCTTCCATGGGCGTGCACCTTCCCTGGGCGTGCACCTTCCATGGGCGTGCACCTTCCCTGGGCGTGCACCTTCCCTGGGCGTGCACCTTCCCTGGGCGTGCACCTTCCATGGGCGTGCACCTTCCCTGGGCATGCACCTTCCATGGGCGCGCACCTTCCCTGGGCGTGCACCTTCCCTGGGCGTGCACCTTCCATGGGCGTGCACCTTCCATGGGCGTGCACCTTCCATGGGCGTGCACCTTCCATGGGCGCGCACCTTCCCTGGGCGTGCACCTTCCCTGGGCGTGCACCTTCCCTGGGCGTGCACCTTCCATGGGCGTGCACCTTCCATGGGCGTGCACCTTCCCTGGGCGTGCACCTTCCATGGGCGTGCACCTTCCCTGGGCGTGCACCTTCCATGGGCGTGCACCTTCCGCTGCCATTTAACGTCACAGATCTTAATTACAATAACAACTTGTTGACTGCCACGCTGCAAAATACACTTGGGAACAAATAAATTTAGTTGTTTCTAACAATAAGATGGGAGCCATTATGGTGAGGTTGAGGTACTGGGAAGATGGAGGTAATATTTAGTTTATGTACTGGAAGGAAATCAACCGAAGTTTGGTTGGTTAATGGGGGTTTGAAGCCTATCTACTAAACAAGAATACTTTAATACCTACAGTAGGTATTACACTGGCAGTATTTAATACTGAGAAACATGTACCTCTCAGTGTACATTATCTTGTTGCTTACACTGACAGGTTGGGCAGTATATCAGGTGTTTTGGGGGTCAACGCCCCCGAAACCCGGTCCATGACCAGTCCTCGTGGTGAGTCAGGGCTTGATTAACCAGGCTGTTACTGCTGGCCGCACGCAAACCGACGTACGAACCACAGCTCGGCAATATAATATGTCATGAAACAGGAAGTTTCCTGACGCGGCTCTTAGTTATATGACGACCCACAGCTGGAGCTTTTAGTCATCTGGCTGAGGCCTTCCACTGGCTTACCGGTCCACCCCTTTAAAAATTATGGTCATGATTATAACCTATTCCCCTTCCTAATACGTGATCATCTCGGCTGGTCAGGAACTGACTATATCTAAGTCAATATTCAACATTAGACTTATGGAAGCAAGAAACTTGAACTGATGCCATGAACAGTCATGGTATTGTATTTAAATAACAACATGAATGTATTTATTTCAACAACTTTCATAGCTGATATCATCAGTTATTCACACTAATGTTAGGAAGAAACTTACATTATTAACTAATATAAAATACAAAGAACATTTAAGTATTTTTTTACGATTTAAAATAACAGTGAATGTTAAGATGGCGGGAGTTTGTGTCGTGACTAGTGTGATGCTCTCCATTATCTCACCTTAATTCTACGTTTACTAGCAAGTGAGATGAATTAGCATCACAGTGTTTATACCAGCAATGCTACAAGACAACCTGCAGAGAATGTTACATAGTAGTTTTGCTGGATTAAGGCAGGAGAGCTGTACACCAGATTGTTGGTCTGGCATCAACCCTCATGATCCAAGGTAATTACTTCATCTTTCACTTCACATACGTTAATTAACCAATTTTAGACTTTGTCAAGAACCTCTGGTAAAGTGTCTTATTTCCCTTGTGAACTGTTGATCTCCCCCAGGATGCTACCCACAACAGTGTCTTATTTCGCTTGTGAACTGTTGATCTCCCCCAGGATGCTACCCACAAGTGTCTTATTTCCCTTGTGAACTGTTGATCTCCCCCAGGATGCTACCCACAACAGTGTCTTATTTCCCTTGTGAACTGTTGATCTCCCCCAGGATGCTACCCACAAGTGTCTTATTTCCATTGTGAACTGTTAATCTCCCCCAGGATGCTACCCACAACAGTGTCTTATTTCCATTGTGAACTGTTGATCTCCCCCAGGATGCTACCCACAAGTGTCTTATTTCCCTTGTGAACTGTTGATCTCCCCCAGGATGCTACCCACAACAGTGTCTTATTTCCATTGTGAACTGTTGATCTCCCCCAGGATGCTACCCACAACAGTGTCTTATTTCCCTTGTGAACTGTTGATCCCCCAGGATGCTACCCACAACAGTGTCTTATTTCGCTTGTGAACTGTTGATCTCCCCAGGATGCTACCACAAGTGTCTTATTTCCCTTGTGAACTGTTGATCTCCCCCAGGATGCTACCCACAACAGTGTCTTATTTCCCTTGTGAACTGTTGATCTCCCCCAGGATGCTACCCACAAGTGTCTTATTTCCATTGTGAACTGTTGATCTCCCCCAGGATGCTACCCACAACAGTGTCTTATTTCCATTGTGAACTGTTGATCTCCCCAGGATGCTACCCACAACAGTGTCTTATTTCCATTGTGAACTGTTGATCTCCCCAGGATGCTACCCACAACAGTGTCTTATTTCCATTGTGAACTGTTGATCTCCCCCAGGATGCTACCCACAAGTGTCTTATTTCCCTTGTGAACTGTTGATCTCCCCCAGGATGCTACCCACAACAGTGTCTTATTTCGCTTGTGAACTGTTGATCTCCCCCAGGATGCTACCCACAAGTGTCTTATTTCCCTTGTGAACTGTGATCTCCCCCCGGATGCTACCCCCAACAGTGTCTTATTTCCCTTGTGAACTGTTGATCTCCCCCAGGATGCTACCCACAAGTGTCTTATTTCCATTGTGAACTGTTAATCTCCCCCAGGATGCTACCCACAACAGTGTCTTATTTCCATTGTGAACTGTTGATCTCCCCCAGGATGCTACCCACAAGTGTCTTTTCCTTGTGAACTGTTGATCTCCCCAGGATGCTACCCACAACAGTGTCTTATTTCCATTGTGAACTGTTGATCTCCCCCAGGATGCTACCCACAAGTGTCTTATTTCCCTTGTGAACTGTTGATCTCCCCCAGGATGCTACCCACAACAGTGTCTTATTTCCATTGTGAACTGTTGATCTCCCCCAGGATGCTACCCACAACAGTGGACTAACAGAGGTAAACTTATTTACTGCAGATGTAAGGAAACATGTTTTTACCCTCAGTGAGTGAACCTAGACGTGCTGAGTCCCAAAACAAATTTATTATTGTGGTTAATATGTTCCAAAATGAAAATTTGCGCAATAAATAAAAAATAAGTTCTGATGGGTGGATCCAGGGAGGCTTTGTTCCTCTTCATGTGCGATATTTAAACATTCCTTTTTTTTTTTACCAAAATATTCTTTTTGATTTGCATTGTTATTACTCATTACAGTTACTATTATATGAAAATTTGACAATTAAAATTGCTAATTCAATGGGAGATACCCATTACTTCGGATCAAGCTTGATTGCCACCTATTCGACGAGTTTAGCGCTCTCCATCATAGTAATAATAATTGGTAACGAAGCATGCTAAGAGGTTACCCAGTAATCTTGACATATATTCACATTAAAATACTCTTGTTACTAAATATATAATGTACAGTTGGTGGTAAGGTTGCATTCAGTGACTGATCGTGTAGTCGATAGGCTTGAACCCCAATAAAGAGGTGAAGAAAGATGCAAATTAGGCGCCTGTCTCTTAAGGCTCATAACTGTCTCGTCGAGTGTCATGCTGGGATACAAAATACAAATAACATCTTAGACCATGTATAAACTTGGAAGCAAATAGAGCCAGAGAGATGCTGATAATATTTCTTTACAGAGTGGTGGAAGAATGAAATGCATTGTAAGAGGTACAAGATACTACAATTAAAACAGTGAATATGGATGGCCTTTGGAAATATGGAACAATATGAGTTTCTCTGCTGTTGTACAGTAGCTACAAATAATTACAAATAGGTACAGTAATTACTCCAGCGGAGGCAGTGTCATACGAGAGGTGACAGCTACAAGAGCAATAGGGACTTCACTGCACACACCTGGAGTGACAAATGAAACATGAGACTAAGTAATTTGTTAGTAACTACATTTTGCAGATTTGAATGGAAACCTAGCCAGATCTAACCTAATTTCTAGTTACTAATCGTTTATATGAGGAAGGGGGATCTCCATATGAAAGGCGCCTTAATACTGATAAGAGACTCTTGATCCAAGAAACTAGACTTATCCTCCCTTCCCTTTAATCAAAGCTGATGGCCTCTCATTCCCAGGCGCCATATACCCCCTTCGAGTTCTGCGCTTCCTCTGATAAAAATTAAGGGTATTGCCGTGGTGCCGGTAATTCGCTCTTGATCCCTTTAGATCAAATTTGATTACCTCCCATTCTCCAGGTGCTGTATGATCCCTAAGGGATCATACAGCTTCTCTATGCTGATAATGAAAATACTTAAACATATCTAAATACCTGTAAAACTGTGGGTAAATTTATCATTTGAATTTGATGCAAGACCTGTATCACAAGAGGGTAGAAGGTGCAGATATAACACGAGAGAAACTGCATGATGTCATAACTACATCATGTTAGTTGAGAACATGCATATCAAAACCCAGAAATAAACTCTCAAGTCATTTACAACTAATACCAGGTAAGTTTATTACGTGCTTGTTGTAAGCAACTTTATTCAAATTAAGAATTCACAACTACGTGTATATAGCAGTATTAAAAATAGCTGATGTGGTGTCGAAATATAATTTTATGGAAACTTCTTTATGACTATTTGTGAAGACAGTCTTTTAATAAAATAAAAGTAAGATGCAAATAATACGTGAGAAAGCTGACCTCAGCAAAGATCGGTGCTGGGCTTGAGGGCAGGGAGGTGGGTGCATTTGGTCGTCGTCTTGTGAAGAACATTGTGGTGGGTAGTGACATGTCGTGCAGACTCAAACGAACATAACTTGCCTCATTATCTGGCCTAGAATATTTTATTAGGTTACATATCCTGTCATTATAACACCGTAGTGTATGAAAGACTTGTGTTCATTAAATGTATGAACCTTAAACCAACACAATGAAGAATAAAAGCACAATACCGTGACTGGAACAAAACAGATAACCTGCATATAGGAGACTGAAGCTAAGACGACGTTTCGGTCCGACTTGGACCATTTAACTAGTCACAGTAATTGGTTAATGGTCCAAGCTGTACCAAAACATCGTTACAAGTTTCAGTCTACTTTGTGCTGGTCATAAAATGAAGGAAGGACTATCATACCTCAGCGAGTGTGTGAGAACTTTCATTATCTTGCAAAACCCGTGTTATCAGCAGTTTAGAATTTAGAACTGAAACAGTAATTGTGAAACTCACTGGATTTATTACTATTTTTAATATTCATAGTAGTACAGTGAATTTATTAAGAGACAAGACACTAATATATAACCAGTAGTAGTTTGTAAGTAGCCTACATGTAATTCTTAATTTCAAAGTTCCTTGGTATTCAGATAGAGAAGTGACATTAGCAACTAACTCACATTTCTCCTGGACATCTATCACAAAATACAACATTAAGAGCTATATGGAAACTTGTGGTTTTTCTAAGTTTCCATTTTATTTTTCTAGTGTATTCAGTTAGATAAGTGTAACAATATAGGGGAAACATTAATTTATATAATTTACCCATCGGTGGTTACAATCGTAGAAGCATCAAACAATTTGGTCAGTTTCCGTAATTAAAACTAGTATGCCTTATGATCAGATGTGATCTATAAGTTATATCTCTTCCTAGACAAATGCATCTTCAAACTTTTCTTTGCAGGCCACACCTATGTTTAATAAATAAAGGTTTTATTTTTATAATTTCCCGTTGAGGGTGGTAAATATGGTCCAATGGGTGGTCCTCTGTAATCTTCCTATTAAAAGTTAAGTACCAAGATAACCTGTTGTTTTAACATGGAGTATTTTCCAAACATGCTGGTGAGGCTGCATCAGCGTGAGATAATTTTCAGCACAGAAGAACCCGTAAGGGTTTATCACTTATAATAAAGTAGCTGCATTTGTAGAACTTTGGGGATAGCTCTTGTTAACCTTGATAGTGGGATGTGCCTCGTCAAGTCGAAAAAGATGAACTATACCATTGGTAAATCAAATTGTTTCTAGTGGTTCTTGTCAAACATATACGTATATAGCCAGTTGTTCTTGTAGCTTCTTAATGGAGAGAGTATTAAATAAAAAGTTCCAGGAGTCAAAGAACTACAATTAGAACATTGACCTTTTTTGTTTGTTTGGGGAGCTGCTCTCTCAGTGTCACTATTGAAGATATAACAAGGAGATCTGACATGTTACTACAGTCGTAACTCTCAAATAACTGTAGTAGGCTGCTTATGGAATATTCAGACACCTAAAAGTGGCATGTAAGAATTTATTAATCGATAATGCAGTTTAAAAAATGTGGATAGGCTTACCTAGATTCTGAAGGTATTTTAGTAACATCCGTTACTAGGCAGAACTAGATACAATTGAAAACAAAAATGGAGGGGCAAGAAGAAGCTCCTCTCCTCAAACAGTATTTAACAATAATGGCAGCTGAATATACCGGAAATACTTATCAAAGGTTAGCGGTTGTATTAAATTAAGTATTTATTTAGTGACGTATTAATGTGTAAGGAGACTTATTTACA